AATTAATAAACACAGATCAACTCTCGAATTGATTGATTATTTTTAATACATAAACATACAATTCGAAAAAAAAAACCAACAACACAAATCGCATGTTATATTTTATCTATATGAGATAAAAACAATAAATATGTACAATAATTGAGAAAAAAATGTACATTTTTATGGCATTAATATGACACTATCAACTTTAAAACATTTTATTTAATTTGTTATTCGTGTTTAGTAAAGATTCCGAGGAATTATTCAAAGTTACAAATCAGATTTTATGAATTATTCAATTGATTGATAATTTAAAAAATGATAAAGAAAAATACAAATGTACATGTATATGGTTTAAGAATAAACAATATTATATATTGAAAGATTTACCATGATTTACTGACTTTTTCCAGTTAAGTTTTGACTTATAATCGTCGATCATTATGACAATTGAATTCTTAAAATAGTAGTAAACGTAAAAACTCAGTATTAAAATAGCGCATAAAACACACACACAAAAAGAAAAGAAAACAATATTCATAAAATCTGTATTTTTTTTTATTAAAATAGAAATTACATTTATTGTATAATAAACAATTATGCTCAACATGATCAACATGGTAATATAACAAGTGTCATATTGTTAGTAAGTGTGAACAGATACCTTAAGAGGGCGTCCTCGCTAATAGCGATAACATAATAAGGGACAATTACACAAGTATGGTGTTGATCATGCGTTACACATATGGATTATAAATGATTGTATACATGTATATCCGTTGCTATTAATAACCACGATCATAAAGAAATAACAAGTAATATTCTAATTTCTAACATGCCGATTAAAGTTATAAATAATGAACAATGTCTTTCGTCCGTTCATTCAAAAGTGATATACAATTCTGGTAAAACCCAACGAACCATTGAAAAGTTTATAAGAATATCTTGTCATCATATATCTACTAGTTCATCTGCACCTGCTGTTTGGACGCCCTTTGATGCTTTGCATCAATGCTTTTCTTGTACTATATTATAACAAAAGAAATGCTAGACATCAAGAGCGAAATCTTGTATTTATTTTTAGAATCGACTTGAAAGTATCAAAATGAATTGAATAGATGTATATTAAACGAGTAGGATGTATGTATAAATGTTATACATGCACTAAATGTGTCTAACATTTAAATAAATCATGCCAATGCAATGGACAACTTTTTAGTGCTTGATGTTCTGGTCAACAACGAGCTTGCATACTTCCTTTTTTCGTCTTTCTATTGCCATTTGTATCTTTCAAAATAAACCAAATTTGTTCATGATAAACTTGAAACAAGTATCTCTATTGCAAATTCCATGTTCAAATTTTACTGTTCAAACCAGTTAAAGTGACATAATGCTCATTTTTCCATTCAAGTTAAGCTGAATTGGACATATATTTCAAACAATTGACAGTTAAAATGCTTATTGATGATATAACAATTGACATTTAAAAATGTTAAGAAAAAAGTATAAATCTGCTTTAAATATTAATAGAAATTAAAAACACTGGCCAACTCTTTTTCATAAATTGAACTATAGAAACTTTCTTGAGCCACATGATTTATTTATTGTTCATGCAAAATAAATCATGAAATTTATAAAATTGAAAGAAATTATTGTAAAATGGAGACTTATTTTGACCTTCACATGTTCACTCACTATAAACCCTTGGATGGGCATAATGTCACTTTAAATAATACACAAATATTTTACAAGATATATTTGATACACTATATACTATGGCAAGTTAAATTTTCTTTTCAAATTTCTTCTGTTCAACACACTTCAAAATAAGCCATTATTATCTTCGTAGATTTTATAGAATTATTTATTAAACACATTATTTCTTTATAAGCTAATAAGCTGATTTTCTTTTCAAAATTCGTCTTTTAAGAACACTAAAATTGGCGAATTTTTAGATTTAATATCAAATATTACAACATGTTAGAAGATTGATTCAAATATTTCATTCCTTGTTTTATGCAGTTCGCTATGATAACCATGAATATAATTATTTTACACTATGTAATGAACTAGTTACATGCAATTATGATTCTCATAAATGGCAGTACTGTAACAATGATACTGTATGAAAATATATAAAACAAAATTAACTCTTCATATAATATTAAATAATAATTATGAAGTAAGTATTTTTACCTGCTTGTTCAATGCGCAATGAAATATAAATACTACCAAACCCTACCGTCGAAAATGATTTTAATTTTTCTAAATATAATAGATATGAGTAACGAAGACATATTAATGATAACAGAAGTTCATTTCAAAGATGCCCTGTATTTCCTCTGAATAACATATGTTGCTGCATTAAGCGTTTTTTACACAACGTGTTAAGTGTCATAGTCAGGTCTTTTTGCGGCTCGTTACATTTGTGCGTTAGTCAATATATCTCGAAGTGAAAAAGTACAAATATCTACCGGTCTAGATGTTACCAAAGTTCATAACCTTGAATTGATGTTTAATTGCTGTAAGGAATATACGGGGCTTCAGTTTAATATCTAATTCGAAAGACAAATAGAAGTTAAACTTAGATTATGGGAATCAAAGTTGCTTGCAGAAGCCGGATCTATGGTCAGATATAGTTACCACCAAACCACAAACACGCTTCATGAAAGGAAGTTAACATAGAACTAAAGATGCGAATATATTTTTATATATTGTTATTATCTATTTTCTTTGGAAATACCTGAAGACTATTGCAAACTGCGAATACATATTGGATAAAATATTCCAATTACCCATGTATAACCCATTAAAGGTAACAAAACACATAAACATTTAACTCCAATCCTAAAATGTAAGACAAAATGTATATAAAAAGTATGGTTTAATAATATAATTCAAACATGAATATAAAATAGGAAATGACAAATGTTGATTGTGCAAAAGGTTGTGACAGTTGTTTTATAAATCTTCCTGAAGGTAACATATTGTTTAGGGAAAAGTTCTGTATACATATTTCTCGATTTGATATATGTCGTGTACATCTAAACAACAGTCCGTTACTAAGGCATTCACAAACAGAAATTCTTTAACGGCCCATTATGTCACAGATATGCTATCATTTTATTTCTCAAAAACTGTTTATTTTTGGTATCTTTTTACAGTTTACAAACATAAACTCATTTGCTATAAAACTGACAGAGGTATAATTTGCATTTATAATAGCTCTGTTAGCAATTTGTATAATTATGGTGACTTTGTATTTTCTATAATGGAAGTCAAATACTACTTTGTTTACGTTTTGCTACCTTTATGACACATAACTGCATGTTCAACGCTGCTTAATTTCAACTGTTAAACAACTAACATGCTCCTAATCTATTACTTACACTTTATTACACTCAGTTTGACATTTCTAAAGAACTTTTTTCTAAAAAAGGATTTTTGAGGCATTTTGTGCCTTAAACGTTTTATCAAAACCTATGATACGTATAAACTGTGATCGAATACTAATATATCGGATGCTTTGATCATTGCATGTATTTAAAAGTATTTACGAAATACTTATGTTGCATTAAATTGTTTTTCAGCAAAAATGTATTTTAATGCTCTTAGATCCTGAAACTATTATGAAAGCTATACAATAATGGAACGGTGTGTATTCTACAGCTTTCATATTATGAGAAGTTCAATTTATTTAGTTTCTCTTGACGCAAATGATGTCGGTCAGCATGATCAGTTACATGCAATTTATGAAGTATTGGTAATATTTTCTTCATAAAACCAAAGCAACAAGACTTTGTGATTAACTTGTTCTGGTTATAGAAAGAGAGAACCATATAGAAGGTTAATATAATAATCATATGATCAGTCTACAAATAATTTTTATTTCAAACAGCATTGCAAATAGTGTTTTTAAACATCGCAATACAGTTGAATAATATGCTTACTTTGTTCGTTCAGATTTTGATTTCTCTGCAAGCGAGCGAGCACCAAATGCAGCTCGTAAAACGAGGACAAGAAGTAGAAAATTTGCCTATTCAATATAAGAAATACAAGTCTGAACTCTTCTTTTAGATACGACATACTTCCACTTGCGAAAAGGTAATTGAGACATTTAGTTAAGTAAACAATCTAAAATTATTAAACTATTTCCATTTGTTTCTTTTAAATTAATAATGAAGTAATGGATTTTAGCCAACAGCTTTTGATGTTGCTACAACTGTTCTTTATATTATTCATTAGATTTTATTACAGTAAATGTCTTTAAATGTTATATTATTATTTATTATCTCAATACAGAGATATTGTTCGACAAATACACAACTATCAAACTTTTATAGATTATGGCACTGTGTACGAATCCAGTAGAATCAGTTTTGTATTCAACCATATGTATAATGGCATTATTATTCAACACCACCATATTAATGTTTGATATTTTAACAGAACTTTGTTATTTCGGGTACATTGAAAATTTGATATAGATGTTCAGGACTCTGAAAAGAAAATGAGACTTGACGCAGAACAAAAATGATTTGATATTCATGGATGGTTTTAATTGAAAGAAAAAACGAGGCTAAATGGAGTACAATAGTGGTGTAATATGGAATGTTATGATTTTTATATTGAAAACAAGGCTATATTCGTAACGTTGAATCATATTATGCGTTTTAGTATGTCCCATGATGCAAACCCTGTAATATATGTGTAAAATAAGTAGGTACTGCCATAGAATAAGGTTAGTGTTTTTTACAGTCATATAACATTGTATTGTGCAAAAAACTTTGTACTTTCTAATTGTTCCTTGATCTGATTTCCATGCACAGGTCTTTTTATTCGTGAACATTTTAGCATCTTCCCTATAAGTGTATTTACACGTTCTAATGTCTGTTGGTAAGACTTGTTTACGTAAGACCTGTTTTCGAGATAAATAACAATTGTTGCATGTTTTCTTTATTCTGTATTGTTACAACAGAAACAAGTATATCAAAATGAAATAAACACTAAATAAGACGTCTATAGAATAATTATATAATGACAGCAAGAATAAATGTAATTTTCACAGCTAAGCCAATGTATCACAGAAACATGATGTCATGAAAATGTCGAAAATATTGTGACATATAATTAATAACAGACAATGATTTGATTGTAGTCCATGTTTGATTTAATCGCCAATCCAATTTTAAGATTATTCAAGAGTAATCATGAATTCATTAGTATCACCAAGAATAATCGTATCACCATGCACCGCAGTTATCGAAAGTGTTATAGATTTCAAGGTCATCATTCATCAAACTGTTAACGTCTGTCTGAATAATGTTTCTAAAAGGATATAATAATAAAATGTATAGCTACTAAGATAATTGAAATGTTTACATACCAAATGTATTAGAAAGTGCAATGATGGGCACGAATTGCATCTGATTTAATAGATAAAATTGCATGTAAATCTGAACATATAACAAATTTTATTATGAACGGATAAATGTTTAAGCGAATTAAAAGATAATCATGTTTTTATGAAAATGTAAAATATATTAACAAACAGCAATGTAACGCTTTGTTTATTATAATGAATCATATTACGAATAATAAAATAAAATTATGTCAATTGACATGAGATCATATACTGTATTTGTACTGTTAAGTAAGTAATAATTATATATCTAAGAACTTCTGGAGGAAAGATATCACTACCTCTGTTATTCTGTTGCATGATCTGAATCATATGGAAATAAAATCAAAACTCCCCATTTGAAAGTATTTTGTAATGCAAGAATACTTTCCTTTTGCATTTGGCTCATTGTTTTGACTCGTATTAAAGCAAAAAAAAATTGGTCCTGACAATTTGATTTTAAACATTAGCAGAATACGATATCCCCTTAAAGTGTAAGAACTTGAAAATTTAGATATATTTAACAATTTTAAGCAATTGTAATTGTAACTCACCAGTTCAATTCTTTCAGCCCCTGGACGCCTTACGCGAACATCCCTGTCTAGGTGATAAGTAGCTAAAATAACAATTACAAACAGTTCATGATGCATTGTACTCACAACGTTTGATTCTATACTCAATGGTTCGTAAAAACTTCCGCTTAAGAGCTATTAAAACTTGAAAAATAGCCGATTTGTACTGAAATTTGATAAATTAGCTAAATAAAGATCAATCATTGAGGATTGTTACCATTATAACAAGGATATTTTTTGGCTGAAATACGAATTAATGCTAGATATTATACATTTTTTGGTACTTGCAGACGACAAAAAGACTTTTTTTAAGAATCCCAGTGACAAATCGCATTGTTTTCAAAGTTGTAGGTTTTGCCAAATGAAACGGTTTGCCCAACTCATTACATAAAAATACTTATTCAATGATTGAATTTTTTACTGAATTATTTACGTAAATTAGTAGTCACAAGCGGAAGTTAAAGATGACACTGGAACGTACACTGTGATACTATATAGCGACACTATATTAAGATTATGTTTTGAGGGGGAATACAGAAATCGTTTATATGAATGATAATTAGTAAATGGTTTAAAATTAGATAAACAACAAATTGAACATACTCTCTGATCCATAGCTATCATTGATACTGTTGTATATATCTGATGTTGATGAGTTGGACATCGCTCTCGGCTGCAATATATTTAATATTAAAACAAAGATACAAAATACAATTAGCAAGCTTAGCATTTATGTGTTGTATATTATTTTGTGTTTACTTTTATTACAAGAATTATTCAGTCAACAAAGTCATAAACACAATCAAGCCAACAGTAATTGAAATATTTTTGACGATTAAATGAAGGTTAGGACCAATATATTACATGGAAAAACACATCAATAGCTCTCACCGTTTTTTATTCATTTTTTTATTATTATAAATGTAATAATTTTCTTCTGAATTATCATTTTTCACGCAAAAAAACACACAAAAATGAAAAGCGTATAAACGAAGTCGCTTTAGTCAATAATTGAGCTTATAATGGGCTAAAAAAGCGATTTTTTGTTCCGTTTTTATATGTGTCAATAAGTTAATGTAAGAATTATCAATTTCGTAGCTTTTTGATCTCAGTTATGTCATCATTTAATGACGTTATTAATGTATGATGTTAGAATTTGATTTTTTCTATCTTTAATTTTTTAACATCACGAAAAGGTCTTTTTCTCTATAATTCCAATAGAACATACGTCTGACAATCAATTAAAACATGCTCACTGATGTACAGTTATAATCAAATCAGAATAAATGTCAACAGAGAGACATTTTGTACTTTCAGTTCCAACAACCATAATAATAAGTATGTAAATAATATATGTTTACTGTCAACGTAAAATTTTATTTTTACTTAATTTAGGCGGCCTTTTACTCGATATATTGTTATAAATTTAGTCTTCAACCCCTGCATGAATTTACTTTTTGGTAAGTCAAGTTTCTTAGCGTAAATTTGGCCGAAATACCGTAAATGTTTCGTATATTCGTATTCTAACGATTGTGTTCGAGGATCTTAGCATAAACCTGAGAAGATGCGACCGGCAACTTACATCTCACCGTTGTGTGTTCGAATCCCGCCATGAGGCAGCTTTCCAGCTGGCAACATCGATGCTTCTATTCGAATGCCCGTTCGTGCCTGAATAATGTACGGAGGGGCACCTGAGGTCTTTCTCCACTAGAAAAGCTGTAAAGACCCCCATGTTACCTTAACCGTGATGGTGCGACGTAAAACTTAACATAAATAAAATGTAAACTTTAATGAATATACTTGATTTACATATAGAGATATATAAGAAAAACGCTTACAACGAGGATTGGATTTGAAGTCGACCGTGTGAACAGACCAGAACTTGAGTATCTCTTCTTTCTTTGGTAAGCATGCCTTATCTGAAATATATAAAGATAGTTTCAATAAATGAAAGAATAAAACAATTTTGAAGTTTTTCCAGTAAAAGAAATGGTAAAATATATTTTTCAGAACTGATTTAAGTCGACTCAATAGACTAAGTTTTAGTATTATATCAGTTTGTACTCTACCTGCGTATTAAGTAAGCAGTGGAAAACGAATATAGCCAAACCCTGAAACGTAAAATAACAAATGAAATAAAGCAAGACGAAACAGAGGTCAATGTTTGTGTGTTATAAATGGCTGTGTATCCGATCTATATCCCTTTAATTTTATTTAGCTTTAATATGATATATAGAATAGAAAAAGACTGACAAAACAATGCGTGTTTGGTAACTTACAGTTACGTTAAAGAATTTAAACATTTATTTCAATTTGGCAATATTTATTTAAATGATAAATAGGCCATTTACAATAATAGACCAGTATTTGGTGTATGCTTAGATATGAATACAATTTGGGTAATATTCTTCTTATATAAAACCAAAGAATATGATAAGAGAGGCAGGGTGTTGTTTTTCAATGCGTGGAAAACAACACCCTATTTACCTGAAGCCCATTACAGACTGCAAAAACATACTGTATCCACGCCAAGTCTTCATTCACATAAAATATACCAATAACCCAGGTGCAGCCAACAAGGGGAAGTAATACGCAAAGACAACGAATACCAGCCCTGAAATATATGGCAATATTCATATGTGAATCATCTGATTATAATTATGTCAGAGGCATGTTATGTTTGATCTTAATAATGACCAGGACACGTATTTTCATAATAAATGTAGTATATTAAATAATCTCATGTGCTTGATCATGATAATGTCAAAAATATGTATTTTTGAACTAAATATTTTTGGAGATATGTTTGATATAAAATTGTCGGATATCATGATGTTTGACCATAATTATAATCATCTTTATAATGTGGGAGATACGATGTTATTGACTTTATTTAGTCGTCGATCTACGTTATGTTTGTTGTTCATTATGTCGGAGATACGTATATCTGTTTGATCGTAAAAACAAAGTCACGGATATGATATATTTGACTTTATAATGTCAGAGTTACGTATTTGTATAATGACAAATACACGTTATATTTGATCTAAATAATGTGGAACACACGTATTTTTCTAAATGTCGGAGATATGTACAACAACTATTTCAATTTTACAGTGTCACGGAAGAGTTTACAATTCAAAAAATCCAATAATGAAATTTAAAGTAATATAATTGTAACATATATATTTTTTCATCTACTTAAATTATGAAAGGTAAGAAAGAGAAAAATATATTTAAAACAAAAACTTACATGGTCCTTTCCTTCAGAGATTTCTGTGACAATGTTTTTGTCTTGAAAATTGCTTTCAACACAAGAACTATCAAAATAAAATTCACCTGAAGACAAAATAAAAAGCAAACGAGTCTTTGAAAATCAAAAATAACATTACTGGGGAAAACAAGAACAAAAACGACATTTCCTCAATTAAATGGTGTTTATAAACCTTTAAAGCTGAATAAAGTATATAGGATCCGTGATATTTAAATTTACCCTACAAATTAAAAAAAGTTGAGTTCATAATAAAATGATATTTAGTGCCCCTCCTCTTCCGGTCAAATGAAAGTTTATATCAAATAACAATAAATGTCATAATTACATCATAAATTTAAGCGAAACATTAATCTTCGTTTTCAATTACAAACAGATGCTTCAAAAACAGAGTGGTGTAATAATACACGTATGTAAAATAACGAAACTGGTAATGGAATAGACAAAAAGCGAAGTCAAGTAGTAAAAGATGATCAGAATAAGTATTCTTATATATTGTACATATTGTAGTCTAGCGACAAAAATGAACTGTAAGCAGATATAAAAGATGAAAATGAATTAATTTGTTTTTGCATGCAATAAAGCCAGACAAAGGATATATACCTAGAACAGCTGGGGAAAACAATATTTCATAATGATAAGATAGTGGAACCTAAATAAATACATACCAAAATAATCAAAAGGGCCGGTCCTACAAAAGCCCATATGAGTCCATCATCAATTGAAAGCCAGCATCTGATATGTAATAGATTTATGTAAGACAACATTTATTTCGGAAAACAATCGGGCTGAGAGATTATAGAAAAGAACTAATTTAAGAGCAACGCTATTTTTCTTTTACTTTTGCACTCTAGTAGATTATTCTAAAATGTAATAAATGGTAAAAACTGTATTTCTCTGAACCTATTAGACCAACGTAGGATAAAGGTTTTTTTTTCAATAGGAAATACATACGATTTATCGTTTCCATAACCCTTTGTCTGAGTAACCGCTAAAGATATGCCAACTATTACAGCTGGCAGCACTGAAAAAGGAAGAAATGTCAAAAGAAAATACTTATTTGGAAATTAAAGAAATGAAACGATAGCTTTGCAATTTATATTCTAAAAATCATACAGTTAAGTTAAACTTAAAAAAGAAACCAATGTAAACATGATTTTCTTAAATTCTGCCATTTCTCTTAAAAGATAGACTTTTACTTTAGCAAAAAAGTTTTACTGTATTATAAGACCATAGAATAGACAATAGATAAACAACGCTCGTAATGATAAAAAATTGTATTAAGAGAAAGATGTGACAAATAAAAAATAAATCAGCATTTGGAAAAGTTGTGTTGTGATTTTTTTTAAAGAAACAAGATCTTAACTAGAAATTACTAAAGACATACACCAAGCTAATGGTAGTATCCACTTTAGTCTGGATTCAGTAGTGAACACGTAAAGAATAACAAAAGATATTTCTACAGCTTCTGCCAACATTAGGGAAAACACCACGAGATAAATGTACTGTAGCAATACCGCGATTGTCGTGCAGACATCCTAAAAAACACAAATGTCATAACAAATACTTAATGTTATCTTTTAGTGTTTGTCTTTTTCTCCTGATTTAAATAAAGATTTATTTCCATTTAAGATACTCATCAATGTCTATTCCATATTCCCTCCTTATGTGCACGGTTTGAAGTTTCTATTAAAAAAACAACACTGGTTGTCGTTAGTTTGCAAATGGAAATGTCCCCGCATTATTTGTTAGCCAATCATATTTCTGCAGTCTTATACGGTAGCATTCTAGCTTGTTTGTGCCTCTGATTATTGTTATTCATTATCATTGTGTTACAGTTTGTGGGCAACAATTTTCTCTAATTATGATACACAAATGCTGATTATCTTACAGAACAAGATATAACGTCGACATAACATCTTATACTAAGCCAAGCGATACTATGAATTAAATGCTTTCAGTGAACTAACCTCATTTGCTGTTCTATCAACACCGCCGAGAAATATACTGTACGAAATCAGCAAAGCAAAGCAAAGGCTCATCAGTATCTTCACGCGATCAGATTTCACAAACCTGAATAAATGTAAAAGAAACAACAACAAATATTATACACACTAATGAGTTAAAAGGATGCGATGATACTTCCATGATGAAAAAAGGAAATATCATTGACAAGAACTTATAATAAAATTGTTTCATTCTTAAACTACGATAATAGATTTTTTTAGCTAAATCCATAAAGAAAATGTAGAATTAAGTACAACTATTCAAGTATCCAGTATGATTTACTTTATGAAAGTAAAAGGTCGGAGATCAATAATTTGAAATTTCTCATTCTTATCTCTATTTGTCAGCTTTTTCTAACAATCATACAAATGACAACATTGCAAGTGTAATTAATGATCAAATGAATCTTTATACTAAATGTCTGCTTTGAAAAAACGACTTTTTAGCATAAAGGAATGCAGTATTTATTTCATCATTAAACTTATGAGCTATTTAATTATTTTGTGTCGCCCATACTTACTTCCAATAGCATATATGTGTTAGCATCGTTATTATCAAACACAACATGGATATGGAACAGCCTACGATTGATATGATACGTATTGCTTCCGTTTCCACATTCTCCTACCAATTCGATAAAAACATACATTATTGTTATCTTTACATATAAATACGCATCCGTTACAAATTTATTTTCTTCATCCAGTGCTCAGCCTGATCTTTTATAAAACTGTTATGAAGATTGTGATTAAAGAAGGATGTAAGTATGTTAGGAAAAACCAGTTGTGTAGCATTCGAACTCAAGTTACTATAATACAAACAGACGGCGCTTTAGATAATACAAACCGAAAACATATATTCCCTCAATCTGATTAAAATATCTGCTCTAAATAACGATCCGCTCTTAGATCTGACCGTGACAAAATACAAAGTAATTTATGGTGATCTTTCCACAACCAATCATCGGCGAGCTTTCATAATTTTAAAAGCAAACAATGTGATGTCTTATTTAAACCCTTGGAAAAACAATACTGAATAGGTGTTTTTTCACGAATTCAAAAACAAACATGGCATTGTCCATATAGCCGACAGGTAATCTGGCAAAACAATCTTGCCAATTAAAATTGACTCTATTATTTAAAGGTTATTCGTGAAAAATAACTTCAACCATTTTTTTTTCTAACAAAAATCAGCAATTTGTTTAACTTCCAAAGATAATTGTATTTCGATACTTCTTCTTATGCCTATGTAGAAACCGGTTTAAATGCATGGCTAAAAATAGATTTCTCGGGAAATCCGAATTGCTAAGAATGCTAAAAATATATGGTCGTTATCAGATCTACATAAAAGAAATAAATTGATCTGAACTTTAGTCAGGTTGTCTATTCCCTGAAAAACCTTTCTTTATATTAATTAGAAAAGGTGTGAACAAAACCATCAGCTCTATGGACGGAAATGCTCCTTTAAATCGGCAATATCTTTTGTGTGTTTTAAATTTATGATGACTTTAAATTGAAACATATGTAAAGCAGGGCTACTGTAGATCAATTAAAATTCGCGCTATTAAAATGTAGTATTTGGTTCGCGCATTGATGTATTTGTCTCATTGTCATAATCAAGTCGTAAGTAATCCTAAATAGAAATTTCGTGCTACTAACAAATTAAATCACGATTATATTCGCTGATAAACAAGATCTGCAGTATATAAAATAATATGATTTAAATATCATTGTTTCTAAAAATATATCATATCATCTTACTTTTGTCCATGGACTCATTAAGATCGCAAAATTGGTTAAATGGTCACATTCACAAACAGTTTTGTAATTGTCCGAACGCTTCACTTTACATCCATTGTTCCCCCATAGCACGCTGTGAATTATATTAAATCCATGAAAATGTGTTCATTTTTAATTATTTGTTTTAGTTTAACGATCTCTGGACACCTAAGCCGCCATATTGACTATATATATGTTAAGCATACATTTACGGAGGTTATTATGAAGGTAGTTAATCAGTTAAAAATATAAAATGCTGCATGCTCTGTTTAACTTGATCATAGATGGTAGTAATGAGTGTGGTGTAGACGAACTTCACCTCATCCTAGTACCGGTTAAAGGAGAATTTGTAAACATTTAAAAGAACATTCAGAACATTAAGAAATAAAACAAACAAAAATATAATAAAAAACTTTGAAAATTCGAATTTAAGTACATCTGCATAATTATGTATTAATAAGGTAGTTATCATGTGACTTTCGATGTGATATGTTCTTGCCATTTTGTGACATTGACGCATGCTTAACGAAATAATGGTCGAAACTTTTGAAAGGGTATCAGAGGTTATATAGTTTGAAACTATCAAATGATTAATAGTGATTTTCTCACAGATCTGTTTAAGGTTTATTTACCTTGATGCATTGCGGTAACTACATATTGCTGATAACTGTTGATCAGTCTGAAAAATAAAACTATAATTCTTAGAGTCTCTTTTCTTGTTTTGTTTTTACATATTTAATTAATGAGAACAAAAAGAAGAGAATAATGCTTTTAAAACATGATCAACTGTCAACGTTCTTTTTATCAAACGATTTTACACTGACTTAGGAAATGGTTTCTTTCTTTCTATTGTTTGCCATTTTAGCAAATTGCGAGAACATCATTATTAATGCTATCATATCAGATGTATTTACACCACTTATAAAGGTCAACACTACAGCAACAGAAGAAAAGTATTCCTCAGTAGATCAAAACGATACGTAAATGACTAGGGATCCATTGATTATGATGTGATTTTTATCGACATAATGGCATATTGACCTAAGACAAACCCGACATTCTACCGGTGAATATAAAGCAATGGCTGATAAGTATATAATGGTTATGATAAGCATAAGATTTTAAAACGTCCCGTAAGGATAAACATAAAAGTAGCCTTTGACTGTTTATTTTAAAGCACGTGAAAATTACGCTTGTAAACAGATTTTTCGCGTTTCAAAGAGACAGGCAAAAGTTGTACATGTATAAGGCTGTACTTTCCGTGATTTTTTTTAATTCTTATAGCCTTTTCCTTTAAAAAAACAGTTATTGACTAGTAAGCCATTAAATATGATTTGATATTCACCGTCAGAAAGTCATATTGACCTCGGCCACCGCATCGGTCAATATTCCATATGTCGGTTAATATCACATCATATTCAATGGCACACTAGTCAATAATTGTATAATATTTTGCAGGTAACATTTGTTATTTTGTAACAGTAATTGACAGATTAATAGTTGAACATTTGCTTTAGTATTGTAATTAAAATACCTCAAAATGTTGGAATGTTAGCGTAATATTGAAGTCATTAACTTTTGTCCATTTGTCCAACTTTACTGACATAACTGACGAGCCAAATTCTATGTTATTTCTGTAACGATAAATTCTAGTAGATGAAACAAAACTTTAGGTAATCAAATCGGTTTAAACGTTCGAAAGATTTTCTAAAAAAAACATATTAACATTATTTTTTACATTAAAATTGCAACTCCTTTTTTCAACTTCTATTTCATTGCCTAATTGATAAGTTGTTTGATATGAAATATTGGTTTCTAAAATAATAACTCCGTTGCTTACTTGAAGAAAAGTATTACAACTTACAGGATATGGTACTTACCCACTAAAAGCTGTATTTATTGACATCATACCACTCAGGTTTTTGTATAAAACAGCTGAATATATCGTTGATCCTATGAAATAAACAATATCAATATAAGTTTCTGCTTCATAATTTTAAGATATGTTTGGAGTCTCTGTAACATCGCGGTTAAAGTACCCACTTTTTAAATCAATTGCCCCTCACAACCCGTCAACGCTGTGTGCCCAGACGGATCGGTCAGCAGCTTAGGATTCTTTTATATGAGAAAGCTATCCACCTGGCTTACAAGAGTGTTTTCTTTTCACTCAGGTGCCAGCTTAAATCAGGATTAAACCAGGCTTAAATCCAAGCACTTAAACAAAGTACAAATTCAGTAAATCTAAAAATTTTGCGTAACAAAGAAACAAACGAACACTTATTTGTTATTGGTAACTTATTGATTTAATTATTTTTTAATATAAATTCATACTGCGACACCAGTAAAACATCGTCATGCCAGACAAAAACGCCCTGTTTGTTTCAAACTCACGTCTTACCTGTCAAAGAAGCTTTGGGTAGATCCAAAGAAGCATTTTGTGATCCAGTAGGTGGAAACTTTATATTCGGTGAGTCGTGAATGCTCCTTATTTCCAAAACTAAATATAAAAATCCAAAATTTCTTTAATTTCTGTTTGATTGTCGAATATAAAAAGTACACCTGATCATGAGCAAAAGAAAATCATAAGCAATATTCAGATTGATGTTTTATACCAGTCATATGAAAAACATTGATGTCTTAATTACACATTTAATGAAGAATACCTTATCTAATTTCATTCCTGATTGAACGTCAGTTGCAAAATGTTAAATGTCAGTAAAAAGGATTGACTATGAAAAATATTCTCATAAATATGTAACATTTAAATATGAAAATATACCAAAATATAGTAGCTTATCCTTACCTAAGTTATCAAATGTTTTTGAAAAGTTCCCTCCTCCAGAACGGTTAAATGACCTTGAAATAGCATCAGTGAAGTTACTAATTACGTCTAAAACCTTTGACGCCCCTGATGATGCCTAATCATATGAATAAAATTTTATAACTTTGTATTTTGACAGTGTCTACAGTAATTGTTTTTAGGAGTAAGGACAACGCTATTTGCTTTAAAACGTCATTATTTTACACAAATATGAATACAAGAATGTACATTGTACAAGAACCTATATAAGTAGTTGCAGATGAAAGTTAAGTTGAGCAAACCTACAAAATTGCAAAAAATTGTATCATTAGATAACACAAATTACTTTTGTATCAGTTTCGTCTCTTACATCATTTATATATATTCCATATTACTGATTAGTCATTAAGCTGCTCTTATTTTTGAAGTAACAGTAGTATATTACATACAGTGCTAATTAAGAAGTAAGTCTAAAGTCCAGTCAAGTTTAGACAGAAGATGAATGGAAGTTATCACGAAATTGCCATGTTCGTCTCAGGATCAATAATTATTTTATTTAGGATAGAAACATTTTCAATAAATAAATTTTCAAAAATTTTCAAATATAAAATAAATAACATAAATCATTTGAATTCGTTTTAGTTTTAAGTTTTAATTCAATGAAATAGAACAAACCTCTGACGACGCTGACGATTGGTCACCAATAGCATGCCATGACTCAGTATTACTTGTATTCAACAAGTTACTTGTAGTTTCAAAGAAGGACTGTAATATATATCATACTGTTTATAATTATCTTAATACACCTTGAATGTATATATATCTAATGAATAATGATAAATTAACACATTTTGTTGTCGAGCAAGTATGTGTTCACATTTAAAGCTTCATTTATTTGTAACTTCTAGAATTGTTAAAGAATGGAGCCAAAAGATCCTTCAAAACAAAAACGTTTTGGTTATATTATTATTATTATTAGTAGTAGTAGTAGTAGTAGTGGTGGTGGTGGTGGTGGAAGTTAGTAGTTAGTAGTAGTAGTAGTAGTTGTAGTAGTAGCAGTAGCAGTAAACATTTTATAATAAATTTAAAATGTAATATAAATAAATAACATAAACAGAATATAGTTATAGTTTTAAGTTTAAGTAATGAAATAGAACCCTCTGACGACGTAGAGATGGTACAAGCAGTGCCATGACTACAGTATATACTAGTGTAGTGCAGTAAGTTACTTGTAGTTGCAGAAGGCAACGTAAGTAGATATAATAGTTACAGTTATCAGTAAGTACAGAATGTAAATATATACAGTGTAAACTATAATAATAATAATTTTTCAAATATCAAGATTCGCCTTGTTGTTTATTTGTTATTGTTGTTGCTCTCTTTCTGTATTTGAAACAACTGAAAGGTTGGTTTGAAAGGTCGTGTTTTTTCAAGTTCTATTTAGCAAAACATGTTATTAAAGAAAAATGAAATAATTCTTTCACAAATATTACCGTAGAAAGACTGTCATTTATGGTTATGTTAGTGTAGTCAATAGTTGCTATGATCTCTAGAGTTGACGTAACCGCTTCTAATTCACCACTATATGTTTTGTTGCTTTCAGTTTGATTGGTTAATGACGATAGTTGATCAAGTACATGAACTACAGTCTCGGTTGTCGGTGTTTCTTTTATAATATTTACCTAAATAACGAAATGTATTAAACAATGTAGTATTGACTTAATCTTTTACACATTTAAGTAATTACATGTGATGAAAAACGTGCTGCTTTTCATTATTAATCATTAATTCATTTATCAAATAGAATGTATTGTTTAGGTAATATGCAAAATAGTAAGTAATATTTTTTCTTTGTATTGTCTTATTATTTCTTTACAACTAAAACAGAATTTTTGAACAGAATATAAACTAAATTAGTTACACTGTCAGTAATTTCCTCTAGCGCCTTTCTAATACAGTTGTAATGAGGTAACAACCATTTCCCTTCTGTTGAACACTTTCTCGTTACATAATCAGACAAATCTACAGTAATCATATATATATATGCGTCAAAACTACATAATAATAATTAATATCGACATGGTCATACACATTTTTGGTGGATTTTTAATGTCCTACTATGTAGATATGTGATTGTTCTACTAATTTGAATCTTATCAATTTTTTATCAGAAAATATCGTTCAGTAAGATTTTCAATTTCAGAATTATATTATGTTTTAATCATTGAATCGTTTCAAGATAATACGTACCTTGATTTATTTTGGAACATGGGAACACTCGTGTTTCGCCTGGATTTGTTACATTCCAAACCTGTCCATGACTGTCTGTGTTTTTTTCACACGGACTTGCTTGTTTGCTTGGAGCTGAAGTATAGATTTCATTCTGCTACATCTGTATTGTTTTAGAAATTGAGTGTTATGAAAAAGAGAGGGAACTAAATCATACGTCAATATTTATATAAATAAACTGTTTTCTACATGTAGCTTGTTTTTATTTACTCCAACATTTTATCAGTAAGTTTGTAAAGCTTTTGTAACATGCACGACACGGTTAAAGTCATATAATGACGTGAGAAAAGGGCATCAGATGTTTCTCCATGTATTGCGATGGTCACAAGTTGACACCTTTGTAAATCATTCAGATATACATAAGCAAACTAGACTGAAGTTTGTCTTTGCAGCAATGAAAAAGAAACTCTTTGTGACTTATTGAATCATCGTGAATTTTGTAACCACGTGCATGTTTGGTTTTATTTAATATGCAATTCACATTCGGTTTGGCATGCTCATCTGTTATTAATCGTCATTAAAACTCATTTTCAACTGAAAATCTTAAATGATAAGAGTTCATCAATTATGTACAAATTTACCTTTTATGCACTTAGGTGCACTCCCGCTCCATTGTCCAGACTTCAGACATACGCGAGAACGGTAGCCTTCTAATACATAACCGTTTTCACAAGAATAATGTATGACTGAATCAACTGTGTATGTAGTATCTGCACCTTCAATTGTAGGTTGGTCTGTGACCTCTGGGCGACTGCAGTCTGGAAAATGAAATAAGAGTAGAAAATATGTTAAAATATAATAATTGTCATAAATACTGAGTATAAATTAAGATGGAAGTATCTTTATACTGGACAGATTATAAAATATGTTAGTCCTTGCATTAAATGTCCATCCTATTGCATAAACAAAATATTAAAATACATAAAATTATATTCATGCATTGGTATTTGAAATGGTTATCATATAGCATGATTGTAACATCGATTGTACACAAGTATTATCTATATACACTAATGTTGCAAAGTTATCAAGTAGTTTTCATTTTAAATAAATAAACCTATTATATAGTAAGATTTTTTTCGTTATATAAATGATATACCCGTATATAGACAGCTGTTTGCTATATAACAAACCCTTAGTGGCCCGCGTTTGATAAGTTAACAGCTGATTTTCTAAGCCATATAAACTGTCAAATACCTCCAAACAATCTAAACAACGTCATACAAACAAGAATAATTCCAATGAAAGTTCCGAATCTTGATTATTTACATATTGTGATCTTCATATTCTTACAATAATACTTTTGAACACAATAAACAGTACATTGTATTGCTATACTGTTTTATTGCGAATTGACATGCCAAAAAATATTGATTTTGTTTTTAAATTTAGATATCAGCGAAATTAGAAGTGTTTAGAAGAGTGATTTTCACTCTTGATTATCCCACGGTATGAAATAGGCTTTGAGACACAAGTGTCATTAGTACTTATTTTTAACAAAAATTCAGGATCTTAGAAACGGTATGTCTTATTTTTATACAATTGATTGTTCATTGATCAAATTAGTCAATTCCTACTAAGTAATCGTGCCAATATCTGTTAATTCTTAAATACTTATGCCCTTTGCAACTTTATATTCTAATTAGGTTTTGTTAACAAATATGTTTTGTAAGTCTGTAAAACAAAATCTTTTACATTATTTCACACAATCAAAGCAAGCATTCATTTGAACGAATACAAAAGCAACCTTAAGTACTTACACACAGGCGAGCATGTTATTGATACATTGCTATTCCAGGCTGCTTTTTCTGAACATATAAATGTGACACTCGTGTTTCCATTTGAAAATGAATATCCAACTTTGCATTTAATTAAAGCGACGCTTCCAAAATGTGTTGAATTCTTCGGAATGAATGTTGTCTCTTCACTGTTATTGATAGATAATCGTAGAGGACCGCAATCTATAAGGTAACATCTAATAATGTAGTTCATTTAAAATTAAAAATGGTATAGTTGTTCAGTACTGATCATTATTTAAGAGGAAAATAGAATATAGAGCATGCATATTCAAAACAATTAAGCTTGTGCAAGCACAATGAAAAACTTAAAATAACAAAGACTGAAGTTCTTATTATAAAAGTAAAACGTGTACACTTTTGCTTTCCGTATTTAAGCTATTTAGGCTTCAGAATTACACTTATACGTAATATACAATTCTAAATTTTGTAGAAGAACAAACTGGGAGACACTCAGTATGGAACAACGTGCGTCACATACCGTCTTACTGGCAATGAATCGATACATTTCTAAATTCATATCCTGGATGACACATTAAGTAGCCTTGATAATTTTACCACGAAAACCAAATGTGTACATGTTTTACTATTAAAAATTAATAATAACTTCTGTCTTAATATGTGATTTTAATATGTATTTACTATCAGTAACTAACTTCAGCCTGTTAAAGATTATAATCTTAAAATAACAAAGACTGAAAGTATTATTTCAATAGTCAACATGTTTATATTCGGTTTTCGTGGTAAGGTTCTCCAGACTACTTATTGTAATGAGATGTTTTGGTCCATACTAAATTTTAAAGAAGAAGAACGAACCTACTGGGCGACACTCGACTAGGTTCATCGGACCCCAATTACCGTCCGGCTGGCATTGAATGAATTCAATACCGATTAATTCATATCCTTGATGACAAACACATTTGGCGTAGGATCCGAGAGAAGTTCCTGAAACTTCTACATATCCGAAAGCGATATCTGGTGGACTGTCGCAGTCTTCAGGAATATAAAAATAAAATATTTTCAAATTAAAACTTGCTTATAATATTTTATTTCAAAATAATTTATAAACAATATAGAGCAATAGCATTTAGAGCGACAGATCAGCGTATCGGTATAGATGTATTCAAAGTTTTGAACATCAAGGGCGCATCTTGATGGCGCATAAATCAATGTTAAAAATTGTTAATGGTAAAAGTTAACAATGTATACTGTTTATTTCCTAAAACATTATTCACCTGGTATTGTGGTAATTGGAGGTATTATTGGTGTTGTTAAATGGGTACTTGTCGGTAATGTCGTGCGTTGTTCAACTGAAGAACTAAATGTTGGGGAATAAGAGATGCCGCCAGTCGTCGAAGGTTGTGTTGCTGTGCTTAACTCTGTTGAGTATGTTGATGTTGAAGTTGAATCTGTAGTGAATATAAAGATATATATCTTTAATATAAAGATTGCGATGACGATATATAAATCGTCGAGGTTTCAATAGGTGTGGGACTTTTGGTTGATTCTGTTTAGGTTTGTGTTGTCATTTTTGTTAAGACTCTTGGTGAAGTTGTCACCGTTGATGTCGTAGATGATGTTGTCAGTGCTGATGTTGTAGTACCTATTGATGTTGTAGACGACTCTGTTCCAGTTTCTGTTGTAAACGGTGCTGTTATAGTTGTATTATCTGAAGACTCTGTAAAAGTTTCTGTTGTTAAAGGTAAAGTTAAAGTTGTGTCCTCTGTTCAGCTATCAAAGCACTAATATGAAATTATTTCATTAAATTCAAAGTGTATGTTTTATGTTTTATAATCGTACTTTAGCTTCACAACTATAAATCAAGGGTACGAGGTATTTGCTCAGACCTACTCCGGATAACAATAAAAATGTGCAAACCTATACATTATGTCACTGCATTAAAAAATATTTCGCCTCGTTCTTAATGTCATATCTTAAATTTTACTTAAATACATAATGTCATTGAAAGTATCTTACAAAGTAAAACTGGTGTCATCAAATATTTCAGCCTTTAAAAGTTATCTAATGAGCATTGAAAGCTCAAAAAGGGATCAGCATGGCAAACGACCAAACATACCGTAATAAAGTGATAAGCATGGGAAATGATTCAATAGTTATTATATTATTCAACATACTGGACAATTCAGTCTTTTTGAAAAATTTGTCATCATAAAAATGATATGAAAAAAAATTGTTCTGGGTAATCAAATATATTTAATAAAATTGTTAGCCTGTTACACGAGCCAAAAATCAGGATAAACTTATCATCCGAGTTCATTGACACATTTGTCAACACAATGGAAATAAGTAAGCACCGAAAACGACCAAGGATTTTATATCTTTAAAAGTATTTAGCATAAAAAAGAGTCAATATCTTTTTTGAAAACGTGGATATACGAAGAACGTCAAACATTTATAAGATCTGACTGTACAAAACAATCACACGTAAAGAAATAAATTACTTTGCTACGTAGAGCGTGGAAACACAATTTGAAATTAAAACAAGCTACATGTAACAATGTATTTTGAAACTGACAGTCGGAGAAGAAAATATAAAGAGACCACTTTTATATTCATAATAATTTACTATCAACATTAGCATGAACTAATTATTCGTTTTCCATATCATATTGCATGAGAAATATATATACTGTGTGTCTGGTTTGACACTAAAGTTGTCTATACAAAATTTATGAGATTATGATTAATTTGTTTAAAGTAATCGATCAACACACAGAGTCTTGTCAGTTCACAAGCACATAAAGATTGACCAAACTCTAGATGAATGTTTACATACTTATCTTTCGCCAAAACGGTTTTGTATTTTTTCATGGCCGGTTTATACGTAAAAAAGTTGATAAACGTGCTGTCTAAATCGAGTATATCAGAGCTTAACACTGTTTGAATTTACGCATTTTTACAATAACCCCACGTTATCTTACATTTTTTGTGAAATCACTATGAGCTAAAAGTTTAAAAACATAATGGCAAGGAAGTAAACAGTTATTTGGCTCTTGACAATTACAAGATAACGCACAAGAGTGTGTCTATGCATATTTTATATTTCAATTGTTTTATAAAAAAAAACAAGGTTAAGTCAACTAGTTTTACACGTGTGCCGTTCCAATCAAGTAATACTAGCACTTTTATCATTTTTCCTCCGTAGCAACACTGATTGATGTTGGAAAACATTTAAATAATGATTAAATTCACCAGCTAATGTTAATAGTCACTTCACAACCGTCAAAGACTTGCAGGATGCCCTTGCTATATATCATTTACACACATAGGCACTTATTACGGCTATGTAATAGTTTGACAAAATGATTCCAAAAATAGACGTTTTATACAGCTAAAATGATTGACGTCAAACTAGCATTGTCCTTGATCTATTTCACGCATGCGATAAATGTTTAATAAAATAACTGCAAACTTAATAAGTTAATATAGTAAAGAAGTGTTATATATACGCAGTTACGGAGTCTATGCAAAACAATCAGGAATTTTCCAAAGGCTATAGGGAAATTGCAACTTCATGCATGAATCAATTCACCAATACAACTCACAAAGTCACGTTTAGTAAATTCATCATTATACCTTTATAAATAAACAATTCCAAATTCATTTATTCATGATCTTAGCCTAGATAAGAGCTGTCGGTAGGACAGGACGCTCGATTAGTCTTAGTGCTTGATAGTAAAAGAGTTTTTGTAATGTAAAAATTTCTAAGCTAATAAAAAGGCCAAATTCTTTTTAAAATCCATGTTACAGTTATAGGCCTTTGTTGATCCAACATGATAACGCAGTTGCTGATTGCATGAGTTTAAAGTAGTTGCATGGCAATGAATCCAATGACTCATAATCGTATTTTATTATTTGAACCGTGGTAAATACGATAGATTAATTGTCTTTAACTTACTTTTCTTATCGGAGAATTTAATCTAGGTTACTTTGTTCATTAAGTTGAAATTGTTAATTCTTGAATTCGGAACCATAAATTCGTAAAGTTAAAATGTCACAACCGGTTTTATAGATTTCATTTCAAACAACTGCTATTTTAACAATGGAACATATTTCAGATAATCTACGTAGTGTTGATCCAACATGATAACGCAAGTGTGATTGCATGAGTTTAAAGTAGTTGCATGGCCATAATCAATGACTCATAATCGTATTGTTTTATTGAACGTGTAAATACGATAGATTAATTGTGTTAACTTACTTTCTTATCGGAGAATTTAATCTAGGTACTCGAAATATTGTGTATTCCAACTAAAAGGGTAACCGTTTTAAAGCATTAAAGTTTGAATTTTGTACAAAGATCAACTGTGACACTTAAACAGAAAAATCTGCTAAAAGATAATTTATTAATATACTCGGTAACAAGTTGAAAATCGTATTTTGTGCTATTCTTAGACTGATCGAAGTTTTGGTTCATTTTTCACAATTAGAATGATTAGTTTGGAAAATAAAACGTAGCCAGTAAATGATCTGAAATTTGGCATAAAAGTTATTGCGTTAGACCTACATCAAAAAGAATATTAATTTCCAAAAATTGTGTTTAGTCCAAACATGCAAAAAACCTAAGTGAAGTCACTTAAACGTTTCCAACATTTTCTTTAAAAATAGCAACACATACAGACCTGTTGAATATTCTTTTTGGCCTGATGACGCATACATTATTTTTGAAATGACGCTTTTATTGATGAACTAATAATCTTACAATAATCGATTAAATATAATAATACCCAAGAGGAATTTTAACTGCAATCGCTAAAACGTTTAATAAATTAACATACAACAAAAGACATTATTTTCTAAAACAAAATCATAGCATTTGATGACAGTGGAGACAAGAAAAAATAATTTCCTTTTTAAGTGACATAAGTGTCGAATATTTCTTATTATGAAATGCATGTAACTTAAAATCGATTTCATTGTTATGATTTATAGGAACTCCATTTACTAGATCCCAAAGCCTAACAACATGTTTTTTTTACCTAGTTCAGCTGGGGCACAGGAATGTATGCAAGGGGAATAATAAAAAAAATAATGTACTCAGAAATAAATTGAAAATCCTATTTTTGTGTTAATTTAGTCCGATTTGAGCGAAAGGAGCGTTGATTTTAATCTTCCTTTATAGGTATATAGATCGATAATATAATAAAAATTGCTATCAAGATTAAACTATGTAAATATTTTAAAACTAGTAAAAGCTTGTAGATAACATTTGATATAAAAAAGCTGCCAAGACTATGTAATTGTAATAAATAAATATATAAGAATCATTGCATAACGCGTTTTACAAAATAAAATTAATAAATTTACATAAATATTTGTCTATTAAATCTAAAAATGTGTTATACCTAGATCCCATATATGAGCTACAATAACTCTGTCATTACTGGCTTGAACATTTTTTCCTCCTCCCATTCCATTTGCTATACAGATCAAAGCACCATTAGATTCCCCGTTTCCTGGACCAGGTTGCCAAAAGTATAGGTAACTGTTATCATATGCGACTTTATCATATGCGTAAACAAGTCCACCATAGCTACAACCAGCGGCCGTTTTAACCTCGTCGTAAGCTAAATTTCCATTTCCGACAAACCGGAAGCCTGAATTTACTCCAGATGTTGCTTGAACCTAAAACAATGAGTTACAAACACCATAATATTCATTTGACTTTATTTATAATTCGTTTTCAGTTTTAATGTTCTGATAAAGTAACATATGTATGATATGTTGCGTTATAATGACTTCGTCCATAAGATTTAGCGTTTTCATACAAGTCACAATCATATATTTTAATTTAGGTAACAAAATGCTACATGAAATAAACATTCTTCCTATTTTACAAAGATTATCCTTTTTGTCAACAATTTAAAACAAGAGCATCGCTAGGCAGAGCATTATATGCCCGAAAGTGATTTTTTTAGAAAGGATGAAGCATTTGTAAGACATGGGAATTTAATAATTTTACTACGATGGATGGACAGAATGATGTCAGGGATATAACATAATACAAGCAATTTTTTATGGCATATAATTAATATACTCAATATATATGTGATCATCCAATGAAGTTTGACAGTTTTAAATCTTTCAACAATATTAAGGTTATTTGATATTGACCTTTGACCTTGTGACCTCAATATAGATATGGATCTTTTATTCCATATAGGCAATCATCCTATGAAATTTGAAGACTGTAAGTCAAATGGAACTTGTGTTATGCTCCGGAAAGCACAATTTTCAGTGTAAAAATCATTTTGATCCTGACCTTTGACCTTATGACCCAAAAATCAATAGGGGTCTTCTACCCAATGCGGACAATCATCCTATGAAGTATGAATATTGTGGGCCAAATGGAAATTAAGTTATGCTCCGGAAACTGTTTTAAGGTTATAGTGAACTTGACCTTTGACCTGGTGACCCCAAAATCAATAGGTTTTTTTTAACCAATATGCACAATCATCCTATATAGTTTGAATAATGTGGGCCAAATGGAACTTAAGTTATGCTCCAGAAACTGTTTTCAGTTTTAAGGTAATAGTGACCATGACTTTAGACCTTGTGACCCCAAAATCAATAGGGGTCTTTTACCCAATATGGACAATCATCCTATGAAGTTTGAATATTGTGGACCGAATGAAACTTCAGTTATGGTCCGGAAACCAAATTACTAACGGACCGACGCAAGGGGGTATAACATAATATGCCCAAAATTCTTTCGGGCATATAAAAAAGGTTATTTTCATAGCCACAATGTTGTTTGTTCTTACCCAAGCTTTAACAAAATTTCCATTAGCAATATCGATATCTGTAATCCTTAGACCAGGACCATAAAAAGTTGTAGTTAGATACATAATGCTTGAAAGAGACGTAGTTAATGATGAATTTCTCCAAGCATACAATTCCAAAGTTCCATTCTTAACAACATTAAAATTCCAACCATCCGTACCAGCAAATATATCTGAAAAATGTATAATCAATAGAGAATTCATGTACCTTCTTCCGCGCATAAGTTTCTGCAAAAGCACGAAAAAGGGTGATTAGCGCTATTCTGGCATAAATGTATACTTCTAAATCCAGTGTTTCCCCGATTTATTTATTAAATAAAGACAAGATAGCTTGAATTGCACTCTTAATAAAACTTAATTGATCACAACTTGATAATGATTCAATACAAGATCAGTTCATAGTTAAATTGATAGTGAATTAATTTTAATTGTTTTATACTGATCAGTTTTAATTGATAACACTTAACAACATTTTGCTTTATCTATTATGAAAATGACCTGATGTTGTCTGGATATTTTTAAAAGGTATCCGTTTAAACATTCAGGAACAAAACATGAGTTAACAAGCAATTATCATAGTATTGCAAGCAATCCATAAGTCCCCTACCGGTAAGAGCCCAAGCAACATTCTGAAGGGCCATTGGCCATTCACTTATGTTTCTATTTTAAGTAAATTTGTTGAAAAAGTTCTTTAAAATTGATCACAGGAAACAGTTTTTATGTACAGACAGACAGACAGACGGACTGAAGGACACTCTAAAGTTATCTTTTAAACATCCCTGTTATCAAAATATAACATTTTTAAAAGCAAAATTTTTAAAAAGGAGATAACGATGTCATACATGATGAGAGTGTAACAAAGAACAATTAGTAATGAAGGTATGAATATTGAATGTTTATTTTGAATTTGAAGTAAATGAAAGTTAAAAGAACGAATAGGAAAATTTTTAAAGTTAAAGGAGGAGATAATTCTGGAAATATGGATGCTAGATTTATAAACCTTGTCATATTATTATGATGTGGGAGTTTGAAGAAAATCCTATCAGGATTGAAGAAGTTGGAGTAAAAATTACCAATTTCTCAAAAAAAAGTCTAAGTTCAAAAGGGGCATAATTCTGGAAATAGTCTTGCTAGAGTATTGAACTTTCTCACAAATGTTGAGTGATAATAAGAAACATTTATATGAAGTTTGAAGTAGATACATTCAGAAAAAAAGAAGTTATTAAAAAAAACAATGTTTTTTTCATGAAAATTTTAAGTTCAAGGGAGGTAGTTCTAATAAATTTTGTGCTAGAGTTGTAAACCTTGTCACATATGATGTGGTTAATGACTAGCAACTTATATTTAAAGTTTGAAGAAAATACCTTAAGAAATAAAGAACTTATAGTGGAAAAACTTAAAAACTAGAGTCAGAAATCTTGAAATTCAGTCTATTTCTTGCCATAGCAACCAGAATTTTCAACATAGGAAGATAAGATAAAGACGTGCATAATCTCCATACTGCAATCTATCCATATATCAAGTTTCATAAAAATATTTGCAGTACTTTTTGCGTTATCGCGGGATCCAGGTTATGTGTAAAATTTGCCATATTTTCAGACTATTTGTTGCCATAGCAACCAGAATTTTCAACATAGGAAGAAAAGAAAAAGACGTGCATAATCTCCATACTGCCATCTATCCATATATCAAGTTTCATTAAAATATTTTCAGTACTTTTTGCGTTATCGCGGGATCCAGTTTTGTGGACGGACGGACTGACGGACGGACAGACGGACGGACGGACGGACGGACAGACAGACGGACGGAGGGTAAACCTAAAGTCCCCTCCGGTAAACCGGTAGGGGACTAAAAACATTTTATTGAAATGTATTCGGTAGTATCCAGAAACTGATTATTTTTTAAAACAAAATATGAATAAGTTTAAGTACAAGTACTTGTTAAAAATTCTGTATGTTGTAAATAAGGATGTGACATAAGGTTAAATGAAGTTTTAAATATGTAATGTCATTATTCTTCTAAAACCATTTCCAAACATGCAAAAATATGTTAAATATGAATAGTTAATGTTTATGTACATTATAATTAAACGTTAAGTTAATGCATTCATTTTTATTGAAAAAAAAAAGAAACAAATTGGCATAAATAATTAAGTAATAATCAATAAATTAATAAATAAATATTAATAAGATATATATAAATTAATAAATGTATTTATAAATTTCTAAAAACATCCCTTTTTCATATGAAATGTTACAGTCGGTAATATCTTAACAAATAAAGCTGCAAAATTTCAAACCTTCATTTGAGCATCAGATATACGATATAAAACCATAAGAAAAAATGCATTACACGATTTTTAAGAGATATACATACATAACATACATAACTTGTTCATTATTATTTGACATTTGGTTAATAAAACAGTAAAATAAAGAATAAAACATTATAAATGTACATTTATAAACCTAATAATCGTTTAGTTATTATTAAGGACGTTTGCTACAGTTCTCATATAGACATGTAGATAAAATGAAAATCCAGATATAGAATAATATAAACTTTGTATGTAGTGACATTGAAGAGAAAAAAATTTGCTTAATTTGCGCACATTTTTTTATAAATTGTGAATCAACCTTATCAACAAATATCAATATATTTATCGTTATTATTTTTATCGTAAATATTAGCAATATTGGTTTCATTATTAACAAATTTATCATTATTTATTTAGTGTTATTGTTCTCTTTGCCATTATCATCATTTTCATTATCATCTTCATCATCATCATTATCACAGTTATAACTATTATCATTGTTGTATGTTATTACCATTGTTTAACCGAAAGTAACTTACAATCGGCTTCAGAAGTCGGTGCCCAAACTCTAATAGATTCATTACTAAATCCGTACACAACAAAAGCGTTCTGAGTGGATGTGTTGTCATACATTCCCATTGAAGAACCTTTCAGTATAATTAAACATGCATGTTATTTACTTTGGATTATAGTAAAATAAAAAACGAATGTTTCTTTACAATGAATGGTTTGTAGATACTAGGTTAAAGATCTGATTTCACATAATTTTGATTCTACAAAGGTCGCATCTAAGGCCTACAACAGAGTCTTGTTTTCAAATGTGATTGTTACTAAGTAGAAACAATAATTTACAGATAAATTCCACCCTTTAACTTACAAATTTCAAAACGTTCACATGTATTCATACTTTAATTTGAAGATAATCTTATCTTCGATAATATCTTATCTATTTCTCAATTTTGGGGTGATTTTTGAAAAGCCTTATCAATGGAAACTGTTCATATTTAAATAACAGTACCTATTCCGGACACATGGCAGATTGATTGGCATCCAAATATCAACCTTAAATAACTTTAATATTTTTATCACTTAAAGGGCAATCTTAAATACCACGAAAATGTTTGAAATGTATATTTAAATTTATTCATAAAATATTCTTTATTGAAAGATAACTGTCGAATGCTATGTCATTAGGTTCTTATAAAGTAAACGCTACGTTCAGTCAGAATCTGTTTTCAACATATTCAAACTTATAATTATTAAAAAAGGCAGAACAATTGTCTTAATTCGGTATTTGTTGCATGAATTGATACATGTAACTGGTTCTTCCCAGAAAAAATCCTGGACGAATTGTTTCCATTAATTTAAACCAGCGGAACCATCTTGTGACAAAACGTTCAGCAAATCTCATTGTTACTGTTGTTATGAGAATAGTAAGTATATCATGTCATTCAGGGACTTTTTAATACATCATATCAATTTTAAAAGGCATACTTACCAACAGAATCGGAATAGTAATCAGGATATGTTTCCGTAGACGATGGAAACTTAGTTCTTGATATCACCAATGAAGGATAATCACCTAGGCCATGAGGTTCCTCAAAATAGTTGTCCTGAGCTTAAACAAATATAAGTTTTGAAACATTATATGTTATTTTGGTTTTGGTGTGATATATGTGGATATATTACCTGCTATGATATTTTATCTTGGCAGGTAATATATCCACATATATCACTCCAAAACCAAAATAATAATTTTATTACCCTTCCCCTGCCGAGTTTAGACGATTTGTTAAAAAATCATTGCTGTTTCAAATTAAACGTCGAAATAAGATTCCCTTTAGGGTACCCCTTCATCACAACATGACGTCACATAAAACATGACGTATTTTTCCCGTACCTAACGGATATAAATAAGAGAAAAGGAGTAGTCTATTGAACGCACTTTTTTGTAATTAATATCAAGCTTTTACGAGGTCATATTTGTTTTCAATACTGATGAGAATATGTATCATTACTCTACTTTGGTAAATATTTATCATTTGACAGTTAAAAAGTGCTTGTAAATCGGAATTTACACCGCGTAAAATCGAACCGTACGCGCATCTCCTCAGCGCATGTTGTTTACAACGTGGGGTACCAAACGGGGAAATTTAGTGTGTATATTACCCGTCTCGCTCGGTAATGTCAATTTCTTTCGGGTGATCAATATCCAATCAAAAAGGCGGAAAAAATCTGGAAGGGTAATAAAATTGTTCATATATACTCATAACGCGAAATGTATCTAATGATCTTCTTTGATGACGTTTTGTGAGACGTACAAAGTTGTTAAATGCCAAAATTAGGAAAGCAATCAATCAATAGCGAAATAGAACCATAAACCACGAGACGCATATGTCATCATAAGGTAACAGGATGAAAAATAATTTATCTTGTTTGAGTGTTTACAGCATTAAAGGTCACATTTCAAGTTCCTTGCTCAAATCTCATTGAAAAATATCTAATTTGAAAAGACAGATTTTGGTTCATTCTACAGTCAGGCGGAAATAGTTTAATTTTGATACTTAAATATTGTTAACTTTAGGAAAAATATTCTATCTATAGCAAAGACTTCAGAAAATGTCAATTGTGGTAGAATTTCATCTCGACTGCTTTTTGATATAATAATTCATGAAAGAGAAATGTTTTTAATTTTATTTTTGTAAAATCCTTTTATATTTGGTGTACTCATATAGTTTAAATAAAGTTTCCTTTTAAAAGGAAAGGCTTGCACAGTTGTGCCTTCATTCCAACCCTTTAAAATTGTTTTTTTATTTGGTTTCAATTTATTATCACAATTTTTTTGAATTACGGTATTTGTATATCATAAAGGGTTTATTTAGTTGGGTTTTTTTTTTTTGAAAAACGAATATTTTTTGTCAAAACGATTTGAAGTATAAAACGATCAATCGTAAAAATACTAACGTGGATATCTATCTATCATACCACGGATTTATATTTTTGTAAAGTAGGTATCCGTTGCAAACGGGCATTTTCGCTTAGCGATCGATGTACCTTTATCGGGTGCACGACAAGATATTTAAGCATTTATATAGGGTTAACTGGGAGTGTCCGATCCATCCCTGTAATATAAATCCGTGATCATACTGAAGGGAAACAAGTGTGCACATTTCATTTCCCCTTTTTCGCAGAGAAATCATTCGTTTGCTTTATAGACAAGTAAATGCACTAAAATACTTCGTTACGTGGTACCAATTTATAAGCATGTATCAACTATGTTACACGATCACAAATACGATGCGCTATCTGTAGATCAGCACGTGGCAAGGTTAATGATATGCATGGGCTATTTTTAGATTACCTCACCAAGAAGTTGAATTGCGTTCAGTAGATCTAAATATAACTCGATCATGCGTGATTTGGTAAGCAGGACCACCCTTTGAAGACGGAATACTACTACAGTCACCATCCTCTATTGTATAAAACTAATACAGACAAAAAACAATTATAAAAGAAACTAACTTTTGCGTCTTGAAAAACAATTGAAACGGAACAATTTCGTTTATAATTTATTACGGTTTAAACCGATAAATCAAGTAAAAATAGAAATCCTATTTATATAAAAAAACTGGGATTACCGAAGTAACTAAAATAGCTTAGATTTCCGTAATATTACTTCGTCTGATTCTGCAGTATGACGGAATCGCCCGAATTGTCACGATTGCAATCGGAACTACATCGGTTATTATCATTAATCCGAAGAGTGACGGAAAAGGCCGAAAAGTTGCGATTGGCACGATTGCAGCTGGTTTCCCGTTCAATCATGCACTTACAATTGGAAACAGGAAACCATCTTACCGGAACAAGTTATTCAAAACAAATGGCTTGCAGCCGTGGCTGCAAGCCAAAAACTGACTCATTGGCCAACTTCTTAAATATTTGTTCTTCCTTTGCATACTGGCAATTGGAACAGTTATAGTGGAATAGTATTTTGTATTTGCCGTTCCCAATGAGGTACAAATTTACTCGCATATTGGGCCTTTAATATACTGCTCTTAAATTTGGTACAACGCTAAAATAAGAATAGATTGGCCCTTTTCAGTCCTGTTTTGCAGTGTTTTAATGGGGATACGTTCAATGAAGCCACCCTTCCTTGTTGATTCATCCTTTTATATTTTAAAACAGATACAGCTTTCACTTATTGAATCAGTCTGGCCTGTAACCATAATTATGCAAAACGCGAATCTGCGAATTACATGTACGTATTAACCCGTTGTTGTCTTGTATTTTAAAATTATTTTCAATATTAGAATCTTTGGAGTCAAACAACAACTATACTTACAATGTGTGTTGAATTATAAAAAAAAACATATTTATTTACCTCCTGAAGCTATGAATTGTCCTGTCTTTACGAAATCTGCGGGAGGCAGGGTAGATTTTTTCCAAGCTCGAGCTCTGACTTGAGCGAAATAAGAGTCATATTCAGTGAATCCATTCCAGTATGGCATTTTTCCTGGATTAAATAGAAAGTTTTCATATGTTTTCAGATATGCAAATTGTTCTCAATTATATCATCTAAGTATAACATTAAACCGTTTGCGAATATAACATCTGATTACGGGTAGAAGAGCTTGCAATATTTTAAAGGGATTTAAAATAGGGTAAATGTCACTACGCTTTCCTCTTTTGATTGCATCTGACGGACCAAGTGGGAGACTCTATGATGGATAGTTCGTAAAGCCCTTTGGGACTGAATTGTCTTAATGTTCGTCTTCTGCCTTGCTTCGTCGGGCCCTTGTAGGTGATTTTCTTGTTGCTCTGTCTTCCTTTAGGACATTGAGTACTTTTTGTTATGGTCATTGGGTTTACTTTTATATGTTTTCTACATGATCATTTTAGTGTTTTACTTATTTAACCTTTTGTAACCATGACAACTGTTAGAATTTCACTTGGCGGGGATTCATTTTATTTACACTGTCTCGTTTATAGGAACATGGTGGGGCTAAGAGCGAGGTTTGGTGCACCATTAACTGGTTTAAACTCCCCAGCAGTCATTATTATGCTGCTGACCGTTCCAAGGCGGCGCCCCACTGTGTTCCTCAGATGTATGTCTATGTTGTTTCATACTGTTTTGGTGACACTTTTGCTTGTGTCCCTTGTTGTTTTCTCGTCTACGGTAAGTATCTTCCCCATTGCCTCTAGTTTTTATTTCTTTGATTAACCCCCCCCCCCCTTCCCCCGGTCTCCTGTCCCCTTCCTCTTTGTGGGCCTATTATTATTTTCTTTGAATTCCTAATCAGTTACAAATTATTTATCATTTATTGATTAACGTGTCGTTGCCCTGTCCTTTTTATGTTTGGGGTCCGCCTGGGCTCCTTGCCATTGGTTCTTGTTGCTGGGTCATACGGGGGTTGCGTTCATTGAACGCCGCCTTTCCTTGTTGATCTTGTTTTTCATATTTTGAATATATCCAGGACCATGCAGGTTCAGAAAAGCAGTACGAGTATGTGACAAATAGCATATTTACAAATAATAAGCAAATATAAACTACCGTAACAGCTTTTTCGTCTAATGAGCTTAGCGTTATTATTTATCAAGCTAAACCAAGCCAAGAAAAATAGCTGTTCTTTCTGGCAGCAAACTCTTTTCTAATCTGTCAATACTGCAACACTTGATTCCAATCTGATCGATTCAAAAATGTCATACCTCCTGAATATTGTGTTTTATCCGTCCAAATTTGGCACATATTCCGAAAAAGATTTTTTAATGAGGTCATTGATGCCAGCACTATTAGGTGTTGAGAATTGAGTACCACTCAAGCCGGTGCTGGAGGGCGTGAGGGATGTTGCACTTATTCATTATCCCTCATGTACAGACTCAATCAAACAGAGTCTGAAACTATCAAATAATTTTGTTGTGATTAATGCTTTCGACGGATCATTTTGTTTCCAGATTTTTATACTTCACAACAGCAGGCGTCAAGTGCTGTGTGGCAGCTGTAAAAAGTTGCCCCGTACTTCACTTCAGTGTTGTTAAATTTTCCTGGTCCTTCGGGATTATTGATGCCAGCACTATTAAGTGTTTAGAATTGAGTACCGCTCAAGCCGATGATAGGAGGCGTGAGGGATGTTGCACTTATTCATTATGCGCTACCCAAAAATGTACATTTAACTAGCATACTAGATGAATGTCAGTTTTAAACTTGAATCACAGTTTTTCAATGCCATATTCATTTTATGTCACTTTTTATAGACATGATTTTCTATAAAAAAAATTTACCGGAATGTAAATAACTACCCAGCTGTTCAACTCGCAATCATTTAAAGTGAGTCAATTGTTCAAATGTTTTATAATTCATGAACTGTCATAAATACTATTCTCCAAAAGTGATGGCATTCATAGATCTTACAATTTACATGTTAAATATTCAAATGTATAAAAGACGTATCCGAATTAGGCTGAAATCATGCATACAATGTGTTAACAAGCTTCCGAATACTTCGAGAATACTTGATATTTCTTATGAACGACAAAAATAAGCAGACAGGCTCTATAGGCACAATTGTAGATACAGATGTACTTGTATGCCTGTTAAATGACAATCACAGCTGTATATTTTGTAAAAACATTTATTCATTAATTTTGATATTTAACCTGTGTATATACAGCGGCCAAGATGTCCATCCGATTGCATCGGAGAACTGATTTCAATGTATACATCGTTGTAAATGTAAATTATTCCACCATATCCTTCTGGTTGATCATCATCCCTAGCACGACAACCTATAAAATATATAACATACATCATAATTGAACACGTACAATGATGTGTTTGAATGCTCGGCCAATTTAAATGTTGAAAGAAAAATATCTAAGAACAACTATATATATTTAAATGTCACATGTGATAAAATAAATGTTGACGAAATCGTAATTTTTCCTTTGTGGCAAATGTCTTGACATTAAATAAATCCCATCAGAAGCATAAATTTAAGTACTGAATTGCCACTAAGAAAAAAGATTGTCTTGTAGGAAGATATATAATTATAAGGGTTTTTTAAAGAAAACTTCTTGTTCAGTTATGGATTTCAGTAAATGAGTTCATTGCAATAAAACGGGAAGAATTACGCCGTTCGTTACCCAAACAAAGAAGATGGCGGATGCAGCCTAAAAGTATGTTTTTTCGGTTTTTACTATGAAAATTCGTGATGGTTAAGTGTAAGATAACCGCCGCAATTTTCAGGATTTTATTTCATGATGTTTTGTCCTGTACTTCATCTGAAATGCGCGTCACCAGATTCTGATCGTGATACCGTACGGCTTCTTCTCTAAAATTTACTGTTTCTATTACATATTTGTATATTACCTGAAACCACTAACTTTAAAAAGTTGTAAAATATCGCCAACTAAACATTTATGCCCATTCTGGCTAGAATAACCGCTGTAAATATTAATATCGGGGTATTTCCGGAAGTGATAACGTACGGCGTGTTTTTCTTCTTGAGGGTTTCCATTCTCCAGTCTAAATCTAAGGTGAATATTTTAATCCGCTTATGCCCATCTTATATGAATTTCTTCTACAACAGTACATACTACATAGAATTTAAAACATGCATAGATTTGCATTAATTTTGGGTTTTCGCAGGCAGCTGTCAAATGTAAAAATCAAGTTATGGCCTGTCCAAGTCATTTTATTTACTAGTATTTACATGCCTATAAATTGGGAAAAATACGCAGATATTTTTAATCTGTTTGTCACTAATACAGATGCATTTATCATGGTCCAATGTTTAAACTTCAATTTGAAAACTCAATCATGTTTAATAAAAGATACTTAAAATATGTTTTTGAATTTTGAGAGGCAAACCACTTTAAGATTTAAATTATTAAGTCTTGATATAAAATTTTCTCAAGTTTTTAAATGTTGATTCTTAAGTTTTTATATGTGACAATACCTTCTTATCAGTGTCAACTTGTTTATTGGCTGATCAGTGTTTCTTTAACTGATTAGTTGCTGGTTGTTGCACAGTTTGAAAAAAAATAAAGTCATCAACTATTTATTATCAGAACAAAACTATTTTTTGTACATGAACGAACTTTTATTGACTATTAAAGTCTGTGTTACACAGTACGTCATCATGTCTTATATAATTTCCTTACTAAAATTTTAATACATAATCATTTTAATTGTTGCTGAAATTATCAGAAAATATTCATAATTTACTTATAGAGTAGATCAACTAATTTGTATAATTAGACTAAGTTAAAATATTTACTACTGTCCATTTAGTTTTTCAGTGAAATTACTTGGTTATGTTGAATTACCTGGTTATTATAATGATATCAATAAAACATTTTTATTTTACCATTTTTAACATAAAACTAATAATAAGATTTTAATGATAGAAATTATTAATTGTATATTAAAGTAAAAAAACTAATCCAGCTAGCTTACGGAACGTCGGTGGTTCTACTCAGGTGCCTGTTCGTGCCTAAAATAATGCACGGAGGGGCACCTGAGGTCTTCCTCCCCAGTAAAGCTGGAACGTCGCGATTTGACCTATACTGTGTCGATGTGACGTAAAACCAAAAACAAAAAATAGTAAAAAACTAATTAAATGTTTTTATAAACTTTCCTTTAAAAAGTCTACAAAATTAAATCAATATCGATAGAAATTATGTAACAGTCACAAAATCTGTAATATACTAGTAACCCATATTTCTTCATGTTTATGTTTTTTTGTGTCTTGATGTACACATTGAAGAACACCTGTAGTGCACACCAAGTACACCTTTTGTTACCTTTTGTGTGAACTTAGCTGTTATTATCTATAAGCTGACTTGAAAAATGGAAAATCACCAATTAGAAAAATGCGCCGTACGTTATCACTGATATTTTGTGCACCGTACTAACGTTATATTTCCGGAAAATGCCTCGATATTTATATTAACAGTGGTTATTTTAACCAGATTGGGCTTGAGTGTTTAGATGACGACATATTTATTTATAAAATCAGTGGTTTTCAGTTAATATACAACTATGTAAAAGAAACAGTGAATTTGAGAGAAGAAGCCGTACGTTATCACGATCAACTCGGTGGAAAATTCGCTCGCTTCGAATCTTGTGACGTGCATTTCAGATGAATTACTGGACGAAACATCATGTAATAAAATCTTGTGTCCCCGAAAAATTGTGGAGGAGATTTTTGTATGTACTTTTACACTAGAATATTACACATTTCATAAAAAAGGAATAACTTACTTTCGGCTGCATCCGCCATCTTGTTTGTTTGGGTTCCGAACGGCGTGATTCTCCCCGTGAATAAAACATATCTTTATTACCTGACCCTGGAAAAACACGACCATTTTTACCAAGGACTTGCACGTCAACAAGCAAAGGTGTTTCTCCAAGGCCATGCTCAATGGATAGTAATGTCGTGTTAGTGCCAGCTTGTGCTTTCATATCATACCAGGAGCTTACAAAATTAGGCTCCATCATTAACATCGTATTTACGTGAAATGGTAGCACTTTGAAAATATCAAGATATATTTATTTTAAAAATCACATACAAGGTGAAATGATTAAACCAGTAATTTTATATATATATGATAAGCAAGTGTGTTTTGACACTAGAAAGACAAAGAATTTACGTAACTCAGATATACAATCTTAATTCATGTTCGATAAACGACTGCAAAATAAAACTTTATTTAGTACTCTCAGCATAATTAAATTCTTTTATTTTTACTTTTAAACTCATTGACAAGTCTTGTTTAAGTTTTTAATGCACTACATTTGTTTTATAAAAATTATTTATTTATTTTTCAGTTATTTTTTTAAAGAGAAAAAAGTCATACCAATATATACCACAATATACGTGGAAAAAAAAACTTTATATCCTTCCATCTCAAATTCAAACAAGCTAATAAATATCGAACGCTACAAAAATAAAAAGGCCTAAGTGCTTGAGATAAAAAAAAGATCCTCAAATTCATCGACCAGATTCATGAAAATTAATTCTTGTAGATAACAAATTGACAAATACCATGTCTTCAGTGAAGTATCTTCCTGATTCACTTCTATCGGTCAAGGGAATCTATTATCTATATAATTTATCTTGAAAACTTCATGTCAGCGAAAGAATTTAGATATTATGCAATTTTGATAAGTTTTAAGTCTTCATACCACTACATTATCTTACATTACTATTGATACAGGATTTCTATCTCCATCTGTTTTAATGTTAATGTTTGTTATCTATTATAAACTTTGTGATGTACATAGATAGTCTATGTACACTTTTAGATGATTACGTTGTCATTAGAAGTGGGCAATTGTAATTGTTGCTGCAGATAATAGGTCTTTTTATCCCATTTATGTCAAACTAGAGAGAACAAGGATTTTTAAAGCCTTTTCCTACATAGCGCATAAAGATCAGCCTAATTGTCGCGTCTATGTAAGTTGTTGGTGTCTAATGAGGGAACCTCGTGCCTGAATTGGTGACCATTGTTCTACCGCAACAAGAAGTGTCCATGTTTAAATGGTATGAAATATCTACAAAGTTTTAAACACTTTCGTTGCATTTTGCTAGTTTATACCCTTATTTTGCTCTTCCAAGGTTAATAATTTTGAAATATAATTAAAATCTATTAATTCAGATATCTCGTATCTCTTTTATATCTGAAAGTGTTGTGGTTTCTGTATTCTGGTATTTCACCAGTTAATTACATAACATATAGGATCCATTTTGAAAACTGTTCTCATTTATTTCATCCCCTCTTATGTTCTTTTCCCAGATTACTGATATTATGTAACAAGCATGATCGTGATACAATGTACCTGTAGAACTTAAATTTACGAGCCCTATTTTAAGAGACAATCAAATTGATCCCTATGCTACTACATTCCTCCCTGAAACTCCAATATTTGTTTAAACACTCTCCAATATCTACTCTATAAATGTATAAAATTACTTGCAATAATTACAATATAAAATGAAATCGAAAGAAATGTTGCACTTCTCATTATTGTCTTTAATTTTTGATGAACATACATTCTTAGACAGAGTCTTAAATATTCACTAAAATTCAGAATTTAGAGAGATCTTGTATAATTTTCAAAATTATTGTATGGTCAATGGGTTTTAGACAACTGTGTTTATACAAACCAGTTTACACTGATACTCTATATAAAATTAAAGACATAACACATAAAAGTATTAAATTTTATTATCACAGAAACATGTATGTATATAATGGACACACAATAAATGCTTCTTACAACACTCTTTGTCTTGATTCTTGGTCATACATAATACATGAATAATGATAACATTACAAATAAACACATGATTATAATACTTCAATAAATATGCTTTTTTCATTTGAAAGAAGCACCAAAAAAGTGTATATATATAAACTAAACAAATCTGATTTGCAAACTGATTTTTTCCTTTCAAAGGATGACCCAGATGAATATCGCTTGACAAGTGGCCTGTAAATTTCATTTCTTAATCTGGCGTTTGCACATACATATTGGCAACATTGAAGTGTATAAAGAAAAATAATTTTGGTCATATAACTATATGAATTTTAAATTCCAAACATTGTACTGTTTTTTGCCAGTTCGTCTGACATTTATGGCTAAAAGTTAAATTTTTATTGCACAAGGTAAAAATATCCTGAACAAGGTTTTTTAGATAATAATTTTTCTTCCCGAACTCCACATAACATTTGCAGTGTTTCACATAACTCATTTAGATACACTATGCAAGTCTTTTGCTATATCTTCTTAATAAATAAAGACATATAAATATATCTAGTACTATCATGAAATCCATGCCAAAATGTGTTTTGATCGCTAAAGAGTTCTTTACCTTTATTCATACATTTGTGTAAGTACGTATATGGTAATTTACGTATATGGTTAAATAGTACTTCGACTAATTTATATTTGCATTTCATGCAAGACACATCTACAAACTACAAAATGTTAACCTAAAAATACACTTTCCATTTGTTTAATTTAAATGTGTGAAATATCAGTCATAGTTCATCTTTTATACATCACATTTTACATTTACTTAGTATAATCACTATCGTTTATTTTTCTTGTTACGTTTGTCCCGTCACAATTTTTTCTGCATAAGCGACGAATGTAGGCTATTGCTAGATATCTGAAATGAAATATAAAAGTATTTAATTAATCTGTATATAATGTTAATATACATTTTATAAAGAAAACTTTAGGCCTCAAAATTTATACAGAAACCATTAGATTAGAAGTTAAACGTATAGAACATAGCTTAAGTCAAGAGGAGATAACTCGGCAGAATTGAAACAAAAAATAATAGATTATTTTCACATAGCAATAACTTCCCCTGGTCCCTGGTAGTCCATTTAAGGGCTACCAATTTCGGGAGGTAAATATCGTACAATTAGGAAACTAACTATCGAACAAGATATCAGTCTTGGTTTGATCGGCTTTGTTTTCGATAAATGATGGGAAGATGTCTAGGTCGGGCTTTAACATTTTCATTTAAATCTAAGACCTTTCAAGAATTGGGGTCTTAAAATGAAGAAACACTCAGTTTCAGTCCCAGACAGCTTTCAGTAACCATGGAAAAATACTTAAACTTGCATATGAAGCATTTCATATATATTGATCAAGTTAGTGAATCATGATTAGTGAGATATTTAAGACAGGTGGTCTCACAAAACAAAATATATTGGCCGTCTTCAGCAAAGGTTGGTTAATGATGGCACACATATATATTCACAGATTTAGATACCACTGATCACCACAAATCATAAAATTTAAGTCAAAAACTGAAATTATAGAGAATAATGGAAAACAAAAATTCATTTGTCTAAATAGTACTTATGAAATTATTTGAAAGGTCTGCTTTTCCGAGCTTTGACCAATTGTATTAATCTTCATTTAAAATTCAACAATATTTGGCTCTTTAAAGAAACTATTGCATACCATTTCGTAAGTATTACTTATAGAGTTCTTTCGTTCTGACCCGGGTCTGCTTTTGAAAGATGCTGAAAATAGTTAAATTCAATTTTGAATGTATTATTACAATGTAAGTAAATAAGCCTGCCTACATTTACAATATGCAAAATTTCAATAGTTAAGATTACCAAAATGAAATGTGATTTTTAGAAATTGCAAGGAACTCTTTTAAATATTATACGTCTTGAATATAAAGCATCTAATGCTTATGTCACTAACTTTAATTTTACAGATTTTATCGTTTGAACAGTAAGATGGAGTTATCTCAAGAAGGTAATGAATAACATATGTGGCTAGAATCTTTCGCACAATCATGATCTTTAATAAATTCAATTTGGAAAATGAAAAAAAAACATAAAAAGATAAGAAGTAAACTCACTATTGTCTCTGGAAAAATTATCAGACATGCTATCCATTCGATCAGAAAAAGATGACGCTGATGCTCTTGGCTGTTACATAAAATGTAATGATTAAATGTGACAAAACAACATTTCATAAATCAATCATTAATAAAGCGAAACTATTTCCTTTTAAAATGTCAAGTTGTTAAAAGGTATTCTTGTCACTGCTATTTCGACAATGTAAGAAAAATTAGTTACTGTATATCATTTACTTGCTTCTGAACAGTAAAGTATTACATGTTTTATATATTATATATTACAATATATTATACTAAAAAGCCAGACATCACGAGCAAAATTCTGACTTTTCTTCTAGTATCAGCTTGAAAGTATCAAATTGAATATGAATTGAATATACGTATATTCAACTAGCAGGATGTATGTATAAATGTGGTACTAAATGTGTCAAACATGTAAATGAATCATACTCATACCATAGAAAACTTTTTAGTGCTTGACGCGCTGGTCAACAACGAGCTTGCATACTTCCTCTTTCGTCTTTCTATTGCCATTCGTATCTTTCAAAACAAACCAAATATTTTCATGATAAACTTGAAACAAGTATATCTATATCAAATTTCCTGTTCAAATTTCACTGTTCAAAACACTAAAAGTGACATTATGCTCATTTTTTCATTGTAAAGCTGAATTGACCATATTTAAAACATTGGCTGTTATAATGGTTATTGACTAATAGTTGGAAAATATGAAAATGCAAATGATAAAGTATTAATTTGCCTAAAATATTAATATAAAAACACTGCCCCACTATTTTTTATCGATGGAACGTTACTGGTATGTTTAAAACTTTCCTTGAGCAACATAAGTTTTACGTTGTTCATGCAAAATAAAATTTATAAAATTGAAAGAAATTAAAAATGCAAAATGAAGACTTATTTTGACCATTCACCTGTTCATTCACTATAAACGCTTGGATGCGCATTATGTTACTTTAAATAATATACAAATATGTTACATGAAACATTTGATACGCTAAATACTATGGCAAGTTAAATTTATTTTTCAAATTTCTTCTGTTCAACACACTTCAAAAATAAGCCATTATTATCCTTGTAAATTGTATACAAAACGTAACTTCTATAGCATATTTTCTTTTCAAAATTATACTGTTTATAACACTTTAAAGTTAGATTTAATATAACATATAATAACATGTTAGAAGAAATGATTCAATTTTTTTTATTTCTGTTATTATTTAAATGGCTATGATAACCATGAATATAATTATTTTACACTATCAAATGAACTATTTACATATATATGATTCTCAAAAATGGCAGTACTGTAACAATTCTGTATAATAATATATAAAACAAAATAAACTCTTCTTTCAAAATCAAATTATAAGCATACGAATTTTACCTGTTTGTTCAATGCGCAATGAAATATAAATATAACCAAGCCCTACAATAGAAAATGATTTTAATTCTACTAATTTTAAAAAAAACCATTCAAAGTCATTTCAATTTAATAGATATGAGTAACAAAGACATATTTATGACTACAGTAATTCATTTTCAAGATTGCACTGTATATCCTCTGAATAACATATGCCGCTGCATCAAGCGGTTATTTACACAATGTATTGAATTAACGTTCATCAGTCATAGTCCGGTCGGCTCGTGACATTTGTGTGTTAAGTCAATATATCTCGAAGTGAAAAAGTACAAATATCTACCGTTCTAGGTGTTACCAAAGTTCATAACCTTGAATTGATGTTTCATTGCCGCAAAGAATGTACGGGAAATCGGTTTATTATCTCATTCGAGAGACAATTATAAGTTTAACTTAGATTATGGGAATCAAAATTGCTTGCAGAAGCCGGATCTATGGTCTGATATGGTACATGTAACCACTAAATCATGTACATTTTGTACACACGTTAACATAGAACTAAAGAAGCTTATATATATTTTTATATATCGCAATTATCTATTTTCTTTGTAAATACCTGAAGACTGTTGCAGACTGCGAATACATATTGTATCCAAGCCATATTCTTATTCACATAAAATATTCCAATTACCCATGTACAGCCCATAACAGGTAACAAAACGCATAAACATTTTACTCCAGCCCTGAAATGTAAGACAAAATATGTTTAAAAATATAATTCAAACATAAATATTTGAAATAGGAAATGACAAATGTTGATTGTATAAAAGGTTCTATTAATTATGTCATAAATTTAAACCTCATTGACGTACAAAATGTTTGGGCATAAGTTCTATTCACATATTCCTCGATTGGACAGAACTACCGTACATCGAAACATCAATATGTCACGCATGCGCAAAGAAACATTCTTTAAAGGTCCATTATGCCACTTTTTTATTTTAAAAAAACTGTTTACTATATGGTATCTTGTTGGCACACTCATTTCCTATATAAATGAGCTTACATTTGCATTTAAAGACCTGTTGGCATTGGTTTTAATTATAGTGAATCAGTATTTTGTACAGAAGTCGAATTACTACTTTGTTAACGGTTTGCTACCTTTACGACATATAACTGGATGATCAGCGCTACATTATTTCAATTGTAAAATAATTGCTGTAATATAACATCGTTATACAGTTGAAATATATGCTTACTTTGTTCGTTCAGATTTTGATTTCTCTGCAAGCGTGCGAGCACCAAATGCAGCTCGTAAAACTAGGACAAGAAGTACAAAATTCACCTATGCAATATAAGAAATACAAGTCTAAACACTTCTTTTAGATACGATAGACTATCACTATAAAGAAAGGTAACTAAAACATTCAATTTACATTCTTGATTTTCTAAAATTATAACCATATTGTCATTTGTTTCTTTTCAAGTAATAAAGTTATAGTTTGTAGTCAACAGCTTTTGATGTTGCAACAAGTGTTCCTAATTCTTTTATATAATTCATTATATTTTTTTAATTAGTACAAACAAAAACTTAAAAACGAAAATTGATAAAATAATATTGCTTTCTTCGTTAATCTTAAATACTGAATATAAGTATTGGTTTGATACTATCTTTAGTTTTATACTTTCATTCTATACTTTATAACAATCAATTTTATATGAGAATGTTTAAAACAAATCTGTACTTACAACAATAATTATAAATGCTGGAGCAACAAAGGCGTAAATAAGTCCTCCCTCAACAGACAGCCAGCAGCTTCAAAGCATTAAATACATATTGTTCATGATTTACAGACCTGCACAAAATGTTACTATATTCTTTAAAATGTGTAGGTCAAACTTTAACTGGCACTGAAGCGCTGCCCAATAATTAAGTAGTCAAACACTAGTAGTTAATTAAGAACTTGTTAAATAGGTCCCTTTCCGTTTGCAAAAGTTAATACATTTCAATTATTGCAAAAATTAAATATGCACGAAAGTAAAAAAATGAAAAAAATGAAATGAATATTTCAACTATATTTCTAGTCCTTGGAGAGACAATTAGATAAAAAAAATAAAAGATAAAATAAGGTAAAAAGCATTATCATCAAATGTATTTGATTGCTTTTAAGTCGCACCGACACTTTGTGAAGAATATATGGCGACTTCCAGGAATATTGCTACTTCCAGGAAGGCATCAGATCCAGTTGTGCATTATGTTAAGTACGAGCACGAATTAATAAAAAAGTAAATATTGTGCACTGTACATCAAGATCATCAGATTTGTTCTTCAAAGAATTTTAGACAATCCGCAAAGATTTATGTAAAGAAATTGATATAAATACTTACAATTGCTCATTACCATATCCTTTTAGTTGTGTTGCTCCTAAGGATATTCCAACTATTACAGCAGGAATCACTGAAAAAATCACAAAAACATCTTTACGTTTACGAAATTTTAATGTGAATTAGACAGTCCTGATTAAATCCATCCCACTAGGCTAGGTCAATGTCAATTTTAACGACAACATGTTGTCTACATATAGTGAAAAAAAATAAACAAAATGTTGACAATTTCTTAATTAACAATGTCAAAAGTTACCTTTGAGGTGATTGCAATTTATTAAACGTACATGAACGTATTTCTGGGCAAAAATGATTTAAAGAAAATAGTTCTCTGAATATTCATACCAATGTTTTTCAGACGACTCATATACAATCATAAAGAAGTCAAACAATTATCATCCATCCAATAATAAATTTGCTAAAACACTTTTAGATTTGTATGCAAACAATAAGATATAATGATAACAGATATAACGGGCTTAAGTTATTTCATCAATAAAAAGCGAAAATTAAGACATAACTTACACCACGCAGCTGGAAGAAGCCATTTTATTCTTGAAGCCGTTGTAAAAACATACAGTACCGAAACAGATATTTCGATACCTTCTGCCAACATTAAGAAGAATACCACAAGATATATGTACTGTAGCAACACTGCAACCGCTGTACAAGCATCCTATAAATTAATTCAAAACAAGGGTCAGCATAACCAGTTAGATGAAGAAGGAACCCGTAAGTCATTATGAATGGAAATTTTAGCAGAAGAAACAATTTTATTGAAATTGAACAATATATTTGTTAGAGGAAAAACATTTGCACGTTTAAATTAATTTAGTAAAAAATAGGACCAGTTTCAACACCAAGAATTAAACGTCATATTTTGATGATGCTAGGAAGGAAACAAAGAGGAGTTGGTTAGATATGCTTTTATTTTGGGGCTGGTGATCGTGAGATCGCTACACCATAATCGCTTTACTATAATCTATTAACCCATGGTTCTGCGAAAACCTTAGATCATCCGTGTCAGCAAAACATTTTTCAGAATTTACAATTTTAACTTGTGTAGCGTTCAAAACACAAACAGATAATAATTAAGATGTCAGAAAAAGTAATACATCTGGAAAAACTATTCCACGTGAATAAAAAGCGAATCTATCAATTACTTTTTATTTATTTTAATATGAGCAAATAAGTTCGTTACTAGATGGCAATAAGCATATCTAACATTTTTCAGTAAACAAACTTACCAAATTACATACTTGAACACCTTATTGAAATAAATATCAAATATGAATAATGACATTGATGATAAAGTCTACAATAAATTTACGAAACATGCGTATTCCTATTCCTAAAATTACAAAAAAACAACTATATAAAAGTTTGTTTAAAAACAGTTTAAAGTGATAAGTTTAAGACGGTATGATATATTTCATTTAAATATTCGTACATATTCTAAATTCACTATATTAGCCTACATGTCCTTCAATTTTCTGATAGCAGTGATATTAGATATGATTAAAACAAACTAACAGCACTTTTCAGCCTTATGAATAATTGGAATATAAAACTACTTTACCTTATTCTCTGTTCTGTCCACTCCTCCAAGGAAAATCGCATACGAAATGACAAGAGCTAGTGATAGATGCATTAGGATCACAACTCGGTCACTCTTCACGTACCTATATATAATGTTTTTTTTATTTGTTATAGATTCGGTATATCCAGTACAGTAGTCAAATACTGCATGTATTAGAAAATATATATAATAATTATGAAATTACATTTGTTTTCACAATTCAGGAACGAAGAAATGAAAATATCTATATTCTATATCCTTGCATGAAAACTGCGTACGCAGGTATATGTCGAAGAGAAAAAAACATGCATAATAAACGAAGAAAATCAAATGAGCACACGTCGTTGTTGCACATTTCTGATATGCTTGGGTGAGTGCGCCTTGTAAAATAGCGTACTGAAATGATGGCAACGTTGTTGTTTTTTATTAACAAAACATTATTGCCATTTGACATCGGCAATAGTACTTTGAAAGCATGACCAAATGATTTTCTATAAGAGAAACAGAGTACAACGCGGAATAACTGAATAAGACGTATTCTTTTATGCAAGAATAAAGCTATTTTGACCTATTTTCTTCATTATCATCTGCAGAAACCCTCGGGCTAATTTGATCGGCTCGGGCTTTAAATGCGTCCTTGTGCTTCTGAAGAGTTAATGCACAAATATGTATTAACCCTCTAATGGAACAGTACCTACTCATCATTATTACATCCATATTTTACGAATAATAGAATAGGTCAAATTATGATAATTCTCCTAATTCTAATAGATGCTATTTTCATTAAAATGTATACAGACCTCCAGAGTGCAATGTGGAAAACAATGGTGATGACTAACGCTGCCAGGGATATGCTACATCCAACCGTTGAAATGACGTCAATAGCTTTGGTATCAACGTTATCCTAGAAATGATCAATTCAAGATGTAAATTATATATAATGATATATTACAAAACAAATACTGTTTTATGAATGAGTAAGTATTTAATTGCTTTCAAAAATAAATCTGTTACGGATTGAAAATCTAGATTTATATATTTACTGATACAATTAAAATATAAAACATTTAAAATCAATAAGAAACGCAATTGGTATATAATAAAAACATCAGAAAATATATAGATCTCTTAATATACAAGAATTTAGTAACGGATTTTTTTAAATTTTTGTTTCAAGCGAAATTTAAAAAGAAAATATTTTGAATTTTAGGAAAATATCATTATCATGATGAGTATTGATGAGTAAAGAAGCTTATAACCTTTGCATAAAGATAATGTGGATGTGAAAAAAACATGTATAATAAGAAATAATACTTACTGATTCCCATGGACTCATAAGTATTGCGAAATTTGTTAAATGATCACAATCGCAAAAGGTCATTGACTGGTTTGATCTCTGGTTCTTGGTGCACCCTTTAACGTCCCATGTTGAACTGATGTGTACATTTTGAAATAATTAACATTCATAGATCTATATACTGTTCAATTCATTCACAATTACAAACAAACATAAACACTTGAAAAATAAGTAAATGGACATTATTTGAATGGAATAATTCATTTCATGTTTCATCAAAACTCTAAACCATATTAATTAAAATACCAACATCAAACATTGTGGCAATAATAAAAAATTAAGTAAATGATTTGGATTTACTAGTATCTAAGTTTTAGTGACTAGAATAAACAACACTTTATCGTTTAATTTACATAATAAATTACAAATAATTACAAATTAAGTAGAGAGAGTATAAAGTTTCAATAAATATTAACCATAGTTATAAATTTTATACTTAGAACACGCACATTCTTGTACGATGGATGATCTAATATTTTTGTCACTGCGTTTATAACTCGTTTAAGTAGGAATAAACCAAAGCCGGTATATTTGTTGACAAATGTATCATACAATATTATTCCCTGCGGTCTGGAGACCGCAGGGTATTGGTACGCGTTTAACTTTTGAGGCATGGAGGAGCACGTGACCTGTTTTCGGTACATGGAGGAGCATGTGATCTGTAAACCGCACATGATTGGTTAATTGACCTTTTCGAAAACCTAGCTAAATACCATTTGCCGGTACGTTACGGACTTACCTCTAGGGAATTAGTCCGAATTGCACCTCATTAAGAACAAAACACTATTACGTGATATTTCTAATTTTCTATAATCATTTACCGTTTAAGGTGGAAAAACTTGAATGATGTGTTTGAAAATTATCAATGTTTCTTTTATATCTATCTCAAATTTTACAAACAATAAATTGTTTATACTGAAAATCTACAAGATTAAAATATACGTAGTGGCATCTAATAAATAGAGATATTTTATGCGTAAACTTGTGTGTTTACTTTTTTTTGCTCGGAATTATTCATAAAATGGTAGGCTTATTTAATAATTTTCTTAAAATAAATAATTGTTTTATGTTCGACCTTCTCCGGTCTTCAACGGTCACCATCACCAAAGACCTTCTTCTATATTGATCGATTATTGTCAACTATATTCCTGATGCAAACGTTTATTTATCCCCCCCCCAAACAATGTTGAAAATAGTTAAATAAAATATCTTTAAATCATTCAAAATGTTCCCCGCAGGAAACCATTTTACTTGTATGAAGTTTGGTGTACATCAACTAAATGGTCAACTAAGGGCCATGATGCCCGGAATTGCTTTTATCTTTATTTCTCAAACAGGTTTTTATTTATTTGTACGGGGCGACTAAAAGTAAATTAAAGCAAACCGACATCAAGTTTTAATGCAATCCAGGCAGTGACAAATTATTGGATCACCCCTCGTATAAATTGATATGTGCATACACGAAATAGATTGAAAAGAAACAAAACAATAGCAATAACATATCAGTTGATATGATATGCACGTTATTCAACTAATGAATGTGCTTTTAGATTAATCAAAAGTATTCAACCAATCCAAAATCTTACCTTTCTTCTCGCCAAAAACTGCACTGAGGTGAAATATATTTGTTTCCCTGTACAAAAGAATATCATATATTCATTTCTATGACATTGATATAGCAAAAGTGTATTTTTTAAAAATATCAAGAAGTTTTACAAAACAGACTTTTGAGAACATGAACAGAATATAGCAACTTTTGAGAACTTGCAATGTTGTATATAACAAAGAGTTTTAAGACACGGCTATCAGTAATACGTTAACAAAATTTTTAAGGAAGTACTATTCATTATCCAATGGTTTGCGAAAGATAAGGATGATGCTGGAATATTAAACATTCTTGATGCTGTTTCTTTCTGCACTACAGCATACACATTGTGAATCTGTGAATAATTTTCACATTAGTCCTGTCGAAATCGAAATTGATAATCAATTAATTTTAACATGCAGAATTCAAGAAAATATGCTTATCCGAAAGGTTAAAGCGAGCTTGTCTCAAAGTTGTCTAAATATGTAGGTCAAACGGTGTTAAGATTCCATACTTACCTGAAAATGGGCAAAAGACAATGTTAACTTGAAAGTTTTCTTGTTCTTTTCCCAGTTTGGTATTTTCACAGCAACAACTTCAGAATTGATATGATGTTTGGTTTCGTTTCTAAAACGATATAAGCATTGGCTCTAGAAACACTATCATTATATCTGTATACGTGACATACGAGTATTATATACTATATTATACAGAATAAAAACCCCTAAAGAGTAAAATTATTGGTATGTTTTATCCTTTCAAAAAAATTTTAAATCCCTCATATTGCTCCGAATAAGAGCATGTGTCCAAAGTTCAAAATTATTATATTGCATTTCCTTTTTTGTCGTCAAAAACAGGCGAGTAAACAAAGGAGGTTTCTAAAAAATCAAACGATTAACCGATAAATTTTTCACATGCTTTCTATTTAAAGATCCTTTAACTCAATTTTTATGGTTTCATATCATAAACATAATGCTCAAATGCAGATTTCGTCAATATTGTAAGTTCCAGAAAGCATTATTTGTAAAGATAATACCGAATTTACATTTCATGTTAATAAAGGGAGGTTTAAGTCAAAGTTTACAATAAGAAATGAAAGCATATATTTAAATGATTACTTACAACGGGTACAAATATTTGCAGTACATATTTTACATATCCTTCAACTTTTAAAAATTGTTCTAGAAGCATAATTTATACATACATATATAAAATTCAACTTAAGTGTGGTAACAATCTTAATAACAACATACAGGATCTTTGCAGTCAAACTGTATAATAATGTGAGATATAATATAAATTATATATACCCTGTGTCTGTGGTTGATTTCGACGAAAGTATCCCTGAAAGATTTCTGTAAATGACACTCGATACATGCTTCAGGCCTGTAAAAAATTTATTTTTTACAATACACATTTAGTTATTTTTTAGAGTGTCATAAGGACTTTTAAATATTTCTATATTTAGATAACGAAACAACGAGATATGTATAAAGAATGTTGAAATGGCACTTAAATATCATTTAACAAAACAAAACACAGATATATACATCTATGTTGTTCAGTAGCGATGCGTCAATTATTTGTTTTTAACATCAAATTATTTCAGTCAATAATTGGAAATAAAATACGTCTCACCTTTAAGAGATGTTGATGGTAAATTGAAGGTACTCTTATAGCTGACATCAGAAAATTTAACAGCAATGTCTTCCTTGATCTTTGCAACGTGTAAAACTGTGATCGAAAATGAAAATTTATGTTACTTATATAATTGTTCTCTCACAACTTTTCAACTCTTTAAGTCTTCTCGAATGCAGTTGCTGCATGGGTATATTAATTTATGAAATAGTTTTATTCTACCGCACAACTAACAGTTCCAAAATTATTTTCAAAAAATGACTGTTCTTATCTGCTTCTCATTCAGGTTCTAGGTGTTTCATGTGGTTGGTTAGCTTTATTTGTAATAATTACAGGAAGCAAATTCAGAACGTTTATAAAAGTTTTATTTAAAGGCACATTATGCATCAAAATGATTATTTGTTTGTTTGTTTGTTGTTGTGTATTTTTTCTTAAGAAAGAAAAATAAAACATGTGTTTAATAGAAATTACTATTGCGTTTAAGGCAGGGTAGATGCATATCACCGGAAGTAAGTAGCGTTGAAGTTATTATTTATGTGGAACAATTATTGGTAATAAGAATCAATTATGGCGAAACGTATATAATAAAGAATTTTGACTTCGATAAAAGTCATAAACTTACTGTATCTGTACTAATTACCACAAAGGCAAAATAATCGAAGGTTGCTAAGCTGCATTGCTGATGAATACTTTCACAGAAATTGTAACAGTACACCAAATAAAAAAATGTTTTAGAAACAAATAATAAAAGAAATACAGGCCTTCTTTTTCTTGATCAATCTTATACAGTGTTATGACAAATAAACAGAAATTTACTGAAATATTAAATAAGACGGTCTTAAGTTTAAAAAGAAACGTCAAAACTAAAACCAAACACGAATCTATCATGACTTGGCTTTTTCTTGCTTTACGAAACTTTGATTTATATAAAGTATATGTTACCCAAGTTCGAAGCCTTAATTGTTTTGGTGTCGTTTTTTGTATTGTTTAGTAGGCTTGTTAAAGCATCTGAATATCGGCCAACGACGTCAAGGATCTTGCTTGCGCCTGACGATGGTTGCTATGTAAGAATAATTATAGCAATAATTATTGAACTGTCATTATTTAATATAGTTATTGAACTGAACTTTTATCTACCTACGATTTGATAAAATGCCTTATGTTATAACCGTTGAAAATGCTCTGGCGGAATATCAATTTTAAAATGTTACAAATTAGATCATATTACATGTATTGCTGTCTACTTGCACCATAAGCGCTATAATACAAAGGCAACAATAAGAGAATTTCAAAGTGTTCTTATGAGTCCTTATTGAAATGAGGACTTGTGAAGTTTTTGATAATTGAATCATTTATTGATAACAATTGAAATTATCACATTCATTAACCATTAACTAAATCTCAAATTAAAATGGTTTATTTCTATTTGTTTAAATTAAACCTTACATGCATATGACATTTTTATCAAATGTCATTGATACTTATCGATCATACATTAATTGCATCCTTATAATGAAAATAAACATGATATTTTATTGTAAACAAAATTTTGCAGAGCTTGTGATTTAAAAAAACAAGAATGAAAGTTATTCCATATACATTATTATTTCCCGATGTATCCTTTTTCTGAGATATTGCTTTCCAGGACTCGGTATTGCTGGTATCTAAAAGATTACTTGTTGTTTCCAGAAAAGACTGAAATTAGAAAATAAAATGTTATTTTATTATCAATGACACGTTAATAACTGTTAACTGTTAATAAATGAATAGCTTCAGATTAATTTATTGTTTCAACAATTTTACGAAACACGAAAGTGTGAATGATAATATTCAACAAAAGTCATTAATTATTAAATTATATACATTATAAACTAGACAAAAAATATTTAGAAAGAAATAATCACACTTATAAGTGCAGAAATGCTATACATATAATAACTATCTTTTCGAATTTTTTGATTCATGATCGTTTATTCTATAAAATTTCTATAAGAATGTTTTAATACGCATGTGTCGATAGATCTGCATATTGTCTGCTTAAACCTGTGGATAGGTGACGTTGACGTGGAAAGTAGTCTGCGTACTTAACAGCAGTTTTTCAAAAGCTTAATATAAACAACATTTTCAATAAAACGTATTCGGCCACCTTTAACATTTTTTTTCTTTGCTATTTGATTCATAAATAATATTGTAGCCAACGACTCCAAAAAATCAAAACACATGAATGGTTAAAAATTATATTACATGTATGATACACACCTCTGCTTGTTTTGTTGTCACTTGGCTTTTGTCGCTTATATCTACAATAGTTTCCAGTATAGATGTGACTTTCTCAAGTTCTCCGCTCAATATTCCACCTTTATTTTCAGATGAAGTGCTATTGGTAATGCTTGTTAGCTCATCTAAGGCGTTATCAACGTTTTCTTCAGTTGGGTTGTCCTTTATAGCTTCAATCTTGAAATGTTAACAATTAAGATTCAAATCATTATCTATACCAAACTGAATAACTGACTTTTTTAATTTGAGTATTATATTTTTATTATGTTTATTATATCAATTGCGTAATAAATGGTTCGTCATTGCAAAACAAATGATAAATACATTATCAAACCTTTTTATCCAAAACTACAAGTGCTTTCCTAACACAGTCGTAGACGGGTAACTGCCAAACTCCTTTCTCTGTGCATAGCCTAGAAACTACTCCGTCAGTATCTGTATTTTCAAAATACGAAAAAGAACGATATTGCGAATATACTTGACATTAATCATGGATATTATAATTATAATACGAGGGTTGTCCAAAAAATTCGTGCACTGCTGCTATTGTCGTGAGAGTTTTTGATAAAAAAACATGAATTATATATCATTTGAAGGGGAAATCTGTCTCAAATAAGAAAACAAAAGAAAAAGCCATGTAACCGGTTAATCGTGAAAACGAATCGTCATACAGTTACCTTAGTAACGTAATACCGGCACACGACAAAAAATTGAGTTAGTTCATTACTGTGATTGTATTAATTTTTTTGTTGCTTGTAAATTGACATTTGTTTTTATGTCGTAATTTGTTTTACTGTCAATAGAAGAAAGACTGATGCAAAGTATTTTGTAGTTTTTATTGTTCTTATGCAACCTACATGTAATATATTCCACCAGTGCATGAATATATTGAACAACCCTCGTCACATGCGCCGCTACCACGGACGGACGTCTGCCTGATCGGATGTCATTGTCTTCGCCCCTCAACAAAGCGTTTGTGCCATTTTAAAAACCAGCCTTCGTGACATTGAACTGGTCCCGCTTTCTCTTTTAAGTTCTTTGTAGGTATCTGTCGGTGTTTTACCAATATTTGTGCAAAATTGAATGATCGTCCGTATTTCCAGACGTTTAACGATTGACGTTTTCACGTAATGACTGTATTGACGACCACACGAAAATTTTTGTTTACGACTGCTACATTACGGCAAATGACGTCATATTTTCAAGTGACACCAGGAATAGGTACACACACTTTTCCCTAAATTTTGACGTTTATATGTAGTGTTTTAAGAATACAGTGATGCATCAAAGTAATGAACTAACCCAATTTTTTGTCGAGCGCCGGTATTACGTTATTAAGGTAACGGTATAACGATTCGTTTTTCTTACACGCCGGTTACACGTCTTTTATTTGAGACATATTTCCCCTTTAAGTGATATATAATTCATGTTTTTTAATCAATAACTCTCACGACAATAACTGCAGTGCACGAATTTTTTAGACAACCCTCGTATATCTTTATTTAGCTCATAAATGCTTATCTAAATAACATTATCATCAATATTAAAATTAATAGATGAATGTAATGGTTCATGTCAGAGCTTATCTAAAGTTATGTTTCTATTATCAGATTTCCTATCATGACATCGAAAATGAAATTATAATGTTCATCTTAACATCCAGCGGTTTTAAAGGTTTTAACTGCCTTAAATATGGTTATTACATAGGATTTAAATGAATTTTAAGACACCCTTGCATCTAGTTAAAAATGTCTTTGTCAAGTAATAGTGCGTACATTCAACGTTTCGTAATGACTCGAAATGATTTACTTCGATTGAAATATGTTATTCAGTTATCAATGGTTTTAAGCATACCTTTGGGGCATTGTGTCGACGATATCATTCCAGGCAAGGTTTCATTCCAAACTGTATTACGATCATCTTCATTATCCGGGCAAGGTGGGGCTGTCGTTTCAACTTTAAAAAAAACGTTTTACGTCAACAAGTTGTAGCCTTGTATTATTTTCATATTGAATTTTATAAGTGATAGTGAAGTGATAACTTGCAATATGCAACAAATAACCTAATGGAAATTATTTTTATGACTTTTTTGTAGTATGAAAATTTATCTGTGAGTAGGATTTCATCCTTTTCCATGAATATTATTTACTGGTCGGAGACAGGTTACAATTCTAAAGCTAGGTACCTTGGAATTTGACAGAGTACTACTTGGTTCTTCATCCAACTTTAAACCTACTTTTATTGATTATGTCGACACCTGTATTTGAGGAACGTTAAAGGGTATCAAATTTACTTAAATTGTCCACAATACTGATATATGTATCAAAACCAACTTAAAAACCTTTCAACGTTCTTGCAATGTAAGTTAAGCTATTAAGCAGGTTAAATTAATCCCATAATTATAGAAAAAATATGCATTTATTGTTGATAATAAAACGATTTATTGACAAAGAATCAAAATAAATCTTGTACTCTTGGGCCGTCCGGATTTGATTGTCATCCGGTTTTGGTAATCTTGAACCAGTATTCATTATGTTGAATCTTAAATAATGTTACCTTGACATGGTATTTAGTTTTGTCTTTTAAGTGTAATGAATAATGTTTCCTTCTTTAAATGATAAACATTGTACATACTTACTCCGTTTGCAGGTAGGAATAGGACCGCTCCATTGGCCAGTTGTTAGACAAGTAACAGTTTCATGTCCAATGATACTGTCATTGTTGTAACAGAAAAATGTTGCTTTGGTATCGACAATATTTTCATAATAGGAATAGTCTACGAACATTGGTTTTTGAGACACATTGAAATACGGACAAGCTGAAAAAAAGAAAACTAATTTAAACATCCTGTGTCTGATTCAGAGATTCAAAGTGATCATAAATATTAACATCACGTCAAAGTAATATGCAATGTATATCTTGTTATCCGATATGTTCATTACTGATTTTAAATTAAATAACCGTTTGGTCATCAATTATATATTTTCAACATTATAGAATATAATATATCCGACTCAAATAACGGATTCATAAAAAGTCGCACCTCTTTTGTTTTCAAACATCTGACGCTGACAGTTTGCAACTTTTCATACAAATATCAAAGTTTAACATTGAATTAAGAAAAAATACAAAGAAACAATGTTCGAGAATGAATAATTTTTTTCAAGAGTGAGTCTTACTAATTGGAGAACAATAAGGTGGTGATACAATATTCCACTGCATATTAGATGTACATTCAGCTGCAATACTTGTTCTTGTTGAATTAATCTGGTATCCACGTTTGCAAGAGCAAATGGCTTTCGAGCCAAATAAGGTGTTATTCGGAGAGTATGAAATATCACACGGGCTGTCGTCAGTTTTAGAACTATGTGTATAATACCAAAACCCACAGTCTGAAAATAATATAATAAATACATGAGGAAACAAGTGAACAAAAAGGCGGAACATTTAACAATCTCAATATAGTCTTCCATTTTCAATATTTGTATTGTTTTAATGATCTCTCCATTTCAGAATTAAACAACTTTGTGAAAATCGTAAAGGTTAGTAAAAACGCCTCTCATAGTTCTGTAGCATCATGTTATCAAAGCATTCATCAATAAATATACCTTTAACGGCATAAAGCCTAGTTACATGTATAAAACATATATCAAGATGTATATTTTCTATCTTACCAACTGGTTTACATAAAGGCTCTGGGTATGTCCAGTTTCCAAATAATGTACATTCGGTTTCGTTAGATCCAAAGAGATCATGACCCTTATCACAAGAGAAGGATCCCTTCGATTGAAACCATCTCTTATTTGATAGTTTTATATGTCCATCATCCGGTGCATGAAGCTCTTGGCATTCTATAAATCATATAAGATACATGTATCTTTCTTTCTTGATCATGATGTTCCATCAACAATATATCTTATGTCAGAAACTATGAGAGCAGTTCCATTCTCATATCAATATTCTGGCTATTGAAAACAGTGAATCGAGATTAGTATTCTTGGTGAACAAGACATTCTGAAAATTTGAAAATTGTCCTAAATGCATCGAAAATCGATCTGAAATTACTTCTATTGTTCAATACATACAATGCACTTGGTCTCATATATTACTGATTATAAAATTGACCTTTTTTAAATAAAAATACAGTATTCTTGTAGAGGACACACATTACTTTGATAAAAGATAATATTAATAATGGCTTTTAGGTTTACGTTTATCGTTTGTATTACCTATGGCTGAACATTTGACAGAAGTGTGAGTCCATGTTCCGTTTTCTGAACATTGTATTGTACCGTTACCGGATATATTATACCCTAGATTACAAACAAGCAATGCCGTTGAATTCACGTGTAATGTTGATGTTTTATAAGTGCCATTGCTAGGAGGCAAAGGATTTGTGCAATCTGGAATAGGGAAATAAAAAGTATAAATTCTTGATAGACCTAGGATGTTGCAAGAATAGCCATTATTCGGAGCTACCTAGACGGAACAATCTTTATGTTCCATAGCCTTACCGTCCTGTTATTGAAATCATTATAATAATATTTGGAATTTTTAAATCTCTTTAATTCAGAGACATTTTGACAAAAAAATATTTTAAATCAGTGTGGCAGAACGGTTAAGAACTAGAATTAAAATCGTGTATACAATAGTGATAAACATACATGAATATGGAAACATTCAATAACGGAAACATTGTTGTTGTTTTTGTTTTGTTTTTTTTTTCATAAAATTAATCCTAAAAATATTAGGCTTTGGTTTTCGATACAAAAACACATTTATTATTCATGTTACATAAATGATTCATGTCATATTCATAATCCATGTCACATACATGATTTATAACACAAAATTGCATGTTTAGTTTACATGGATATGCTCATTGGCCAATAACTGAACCATGTTTTTCATCTGTTGCATTTTGCATTAGTTCTGTTATAGTGAATTAGTATTTTGTATGGAAGTCAAAATACTACTTTGTTTAATTTTGCTACTTTTATGACACATATCACATTTACCGCCACTAAAATTCTTCAGGTAAAATCATCTAACATTCCTTAAAATCAGTTTTTAAACGTTATCAAGTTCATATTTGTCCTTTATATGAAGTAAAAATGGATTAGTTTCTAAGACATAATGTGTCTCTTAAAACAGTTCTTGTTTACATATTTAAGTATGTATCAATTTGTACAGTATAAAAGAGACGTGCTTCGAAAGGATGTTATAAAGTATCTGACACTTTTGTCCTTTAATATATTGCCCATTGTAAAATAAATGTAACTAAGTACCTCTAATATCTTTACAAATAAGCAAAATAAGTGCAAATGTCATCAATGCTATTCTCATATATTTGTTAAACCTACTTTGTACAACACAAGCTGGTGGTGAAGCATCCCAGCTTCCATTTGAATCACACTTTGATTTTGCTGTTCCAGTCAATTTGTAACCAGGGTAGCATGAAAATGTCACTGTGTCATTGACTTCTGTCTTACCATTATTAAGATCGACTCGGCCATTGTCAGGGTCTAAAGGACTTGAACATCCTTAAAGTATGAAAAGAACAAATTATTTACATTATGATGTATTTATACTGACAATGATCAAGAATAAATGATTTACCTTAATTGATAACATGTTACATGACGAAAAAACAATGTAGATGTAAACTATATAAAATATGTTAACATTTATGTTCAAAAATACAGGAAATATCAATTATTAAATTATTATTATTATTATTATATCAGAATATATACCTGGATAAAACCATCAGTTCATAGAAGAGTATTTCAAAATATTTCCTCGTTTAATAACTGGAAATACTCAGATTCTAAGAAATTAAAACATGATATCACTGTATTTGGAGTAAGATCGTTTCCTAAAAAAACTGCTAATTACATGTATTAATAGAAATGGATTTAAATAAAGGTCAGAGAGTAAAAACAACCATGATTATATTTTACTTGTTATGATGCACAAACACTTTACACTTATCGGTTGTTAAAAAGTTTAAAACATAATGTAAAAAAGACCCCTTGAGCAAACAGTCGTAAAGAAAAACATTACTGATATTTGATTGATAAATCTACCGAAAATACTAAATCAATAAGGCCTTACCTATTATATTACAAACAGCAAATGATCTACTCCATGTAGTGTTTTCTAAGCATTGTATACTTGTATTATTACCAGTAAGGCTATACCCTTCATTACAAGTTATATCAACAGATGAATTGACGGACAGTCCAGTTTTATTGACAAAGTGGCCATTTGTGGGAGGTACTGGATCGGAACAATCTAAAATAAAAACATAATAGTTTCATTTTAAAAGCGAATTTAAAGAATCATGCATATTGATACTTTGAAGATGTGCATGATAATTCATTTTCGTTTTATTCAATAGAATCAATGATATAGGTAAAACATGATTTAAAGTACAATACTTTAATTAATACATAACTAAATGTAACAATTGATATTACAGCGGCTGCACCACGTAGTCTCTTAATGTAAATCATTATCCGACCCAATTTTATAAATTTATCCAGATGAAAGTTCTCCAAAAATTCATTTTTCGGAAAACAAAACCCATATACCATTTTGTATTAGGTCTAGCCTTTTTCAGTCATAATCTGAGTCCAAAATATCCATATCAAATTAATATTGTACTTGACGTAACAAAGTTTAACAAAATGGGTGTTGTGAAATGATGAATACTATTTGACTAACAAAGGTGCAAGGTATATATCAGACTTGGCAAGGGTCTCACGTGACAGCTGTGTACTCAATAATATATGTTAGCCTGGTAATATTAATGTGAATATTTATTATGTTAGTTGATTTTTTTTCATTCGTTTGTCTAGTTATATGATTTAAATGTTTGTTTCTTGTTTTTATAGATGCAAAGAAAGAAAGACAAAGCGAATAATTTCCACTTACTTTGTATAAAACAAAATGGCGCTTTTTCATTCCATGTACCATTAAGACTGCATTTAGTATCATGAGCGCCATCTATCTTGTAACCAGGATAACAGGAATATGACACCGTGTCATTAACATTCTGTGTACCATTCTCTAATCTCACCATTCCATTAGAAGGGGCGATCGGAGTTGGGCACTCTGAGAATATAAATAGACAAAAATCAATGACTCGTTTAATTACGTAATTAAAATATACATTTAGCTTACCATTTACCTTGTTTAGTAGAACCTTCCCGGTATTCATTTTCATTTAAATTAAAGTGCATAGTTTAGAATTGTTTTATAACAAAATAAGGCAAAGAAATAATTATAATGACTAAATATAATTTAGCTTCGGTTAATAATTAGAGAAATCATAAAAATGTGCATGAATACATTAAGCTTTATACATGCATAGCTATAATTGTTTTCATAAAGTTTCAACTTAAAGAGAAATTATATTCGCAACATATGTAAACGAGTGAACTATATCACAAATACATGCGTACATATTGAATGAAACCGAGAATTTAATAAATATATTTACTTGATGATAAACAAATTTTATGAAAAACCACTTGTTTACCTATCAAAGTACAAGTGGCTGACGTTTCACTCCATGTTTCATTTACCAAACACGTGAACTATATCATAAATAAATGCATACATATCGATTGAAATCAAGAATTAATAAATCAACTTCATGATAAACAAATTTTAGGAAAAACCACTTGTTTACCTATCAAAGTACAATTGGCTGACGTTTCACTCCATGTTTCATTTACCAGACATTGTATTGTGCCATTACCAAACTGTCTGTAACCGGGATCACAAACCAGACTTGCAGTTGAATTAACGCTCAATTCTGTAGACAAACTGTAAAAGCCATTTCTTGGAGCAGATGGAAAAGTACAATCTGAAGTAGAGACGCTTTTTATTACACACATGATTTATTATATGCATGCAATTTACATGTCAAATCTTTTGAAAAACAATTTTTTTTTATTATACAGATCTTAATAAGAAGTTGAACGCATGTTATTGTTGAGAATGCGTATTTTTATTATACCAAAGAAATCTTATATATATTTGTCTTATTTTTTCATTAATTCAAACTGATAAAGTTATCATGTGAGACAAAATGTAGTAAATAACAATTATAACAGACTGTTTCTGAAACAACTGTTTTTTTACAGACAAATAAATACAGTTGTCATTACCTTTGCGCAATATGACATATTTAAGACCATTTCTTCAAGAACAAATACTTTAAAGTACAAAATGTACTTAATGCACATTGCAATTACATTACATTTCAGTCTTTAAAAAGCATCGTCTTATTTCTTATTAATATACTCTAAAGTCATAAAATTGTCTTTTACTCAGTATTGTGATAGTAGAAATATTGATAATAAATAGTACAGTATCACAGTTTTGTATTATATTTTAAAACAGCATTCGATATGATGGCAAATTAAAAGATGCATTTCGATATTTCCATATATACATAGCTACATGAATTTCAAATACTTGCACGAAGAGTATCAACGAGAATCTCCCAGTTTGATAAACTTACTTTCGACAATACAACTTGGCGGCGAGGCATCCCAGCTTCCACTTGTATTGCATTTCGATTGTGCTATTCCAGTCAATATGTAACCAGTGTAGCATGAAAATGTCACTGTTGCATTCACTTCTGTCTTACCATTATCTATATCAACTTGTCCATTATCAGGTTCCATAGGACTTAAACATTCTTAAAAATATTTTTAATAGAATTACGGTGTACTAATAAATTTACATGGAATTAAGAAATAATGCTAATAGTACATTATTTAGGATTTGATTTTTCAAACAAGTACGACAGAACTGTTAAGAGCTTAGATCTTATTTTGTCTTCTTAACCGAAGAATAAACTACACTCGCATATGGACATAATCGATGTCAATATTACTTCTAATCTTTCATGACAATTAAGCAAGCTTATGTACGAGACAACATGTAAGCATTTAGACTCATGGTAAATTATCTAGTATAATATAATGCACGATTTATGTAATATATTTGCGTCTGGTTTTTCTCAAAAATAAAATTGAAATAGCATGAATACAAATATTGTTCTTTTAAATATCAGAGTGTTATTTTTGTATATGAGTACGGTCTGCTTGCAAAACACTACAACTTTCTGGCAGTCTGTATTTGAATTACTACACGGATTTAAAAGATGATACAAAAATCATCAACGAGAGCCTCTTATATTGTTGAACTTACTTCGCAGAATGCATGTGGGCGGTGTTGCATCCCAGCTTCCATTTGAATCGCATTTAATTTGTGCTGTTCCAGACAATTTGTAACCAGTGTTGCATGAGTATGTCACTGTATCATTGACTTCTGTATTTCTATTATCAATATTGACTTCTCCATTATCAGGTGCCGTAGGACTTGGACATTCTAAATGAATGAAATATGGCTTAGTTCAGTTCTGTATTATATTCATTAATTTACACGACCAATTCATGTTTTATTTACAATAATGAAAAAAGAAAAACAAAGATGACAGCAATTATGTAAGCTATCCAAAATTAATTTACATTCACTTCAGGTAAGGATAAACCAAGTAAAACTTATGCTTTGTATAGCAAGTGTTTTTATAGAGTTGGAATATAAATTATATCAGTAAAATATTTAAACGTGTATAATACAAATACAATGTAAATTAATAACGATTGAATATAATAGCTAACAAATTTGCTTGATGATAATCACAAATTCGAGAAAGAACCATTTGTTTACCTATCAAAGTACAATTGGCTGACGTTTCACTCCATGTTTCATTTACCAGACATTGTATTGTGCCATTACCAAACTGTCTGTAACCGGGTTTACAAGTCAGACTTGCAGTTGAATTAACGCTCGATTCGGTAGCCAAACTGTAAAAGCCGTTGCTTGGAGCAGATGGAACAGTACAATCTGAAGTAGAGATATTTTAGGTTCGCAAATAATTTCTTGCGAGTGCAAGTATTACTGTACATCTCTTACAAAATTATTTAGAGGTTTATACTTGGTTGCTGCTCGCCATTATGCGGTAATTGCCCCAAGATGTACAAAATGGCATGAGGGTCGCAGGCCCGAAAGACATTATGAACTCGAGGGCCATTATCGCATAATGGCGAACAGCAACCAAGTATTAACGTCTTTAATACCTATGTCCGAAATACGGCGTTTAGACATAACCGCTAATCTTGGTTTTTTTTAATCAGGAGTTTCCCACGTTATTTAATCTCGATTTTGGAAACACAATTCCCTTATTTCATAATTTTAACGTTATTTCTCTCAAAATACGAAAATCAGGAAAAGGTAAAATGTAGAAAACAACAAAAAGCATCCATTTCTCGAACAAATATTTCTTTGCAGACAAAGATAATCAGATTTTTTATTAATATGCCACATTACGTTATATACCATACCGAACGAACAATTTACCATGTACATATTTCTATGAAATAACTATAATTGCAAATTGCAATAACAGTCCGTTCAGTCTGCAAGATTACTCATCTTATTCCCTGTTCTTGAAAATAGCATAATATCATTAATTGATTAGTACCACCAATTTGTCTAATACAAACAACAACAATGTAACATAACCTCATACTCACTTTGTATAATACATGAAGGTATTGCATTGGTCCAAGTGTAATCAAGACTGCATTCAGTAACCGCTGCTCCAACCAACTTGTAGCCAGGATAACATGTAAATGTCACCGAATCATTAACAAACGTTGTGTAATTATTGACATTGATGAATCCATTGTTAGGCGGTAGAAGAGGAGCACATCCTTTATGAAGAAAAAAAAGACATACAAGTTGGTTTATAAATTATTAACTATTATTATAATCATTAATGTTTTATATACATAAGATTTTGTTATATTAAGCAAATTATGATAAACAAAATAGATTAAGTTCACGGAAATCTTATTTACACGAAAATCAACGTAAACTTAAAAAAAAAATCAAAAATATTTTTATCTTGCAAATATCCTGCATGACAATGTACAGACTCAAACCGAGTCTGCAATGTTCATGTGATTGTGTTGTGATAAATGCTGTCAAAGGATCACACTTTTTCTGGATGTTTATGTTGACATTATTGTAAATATTTTACATAATTTATAACATACGTTTGAGAAAACATGTGTTATTTGTGATACTCCATTGTCCATTTTCTTGACAATAAGATGAATTCTGTCCTTTTAAACTGTAACCATCATTACAAGTAATTTCTGCGCTGTCATTGAAGAAGGTGTTGCTGTTATAGGTTACCATGCCGTTTAAAGGTATCGTTAGATTTTTGCAGTCTGCAAAATATGAGAACAAATTTCTATCATACATTTTACTACATCAGAATTTTGTGAAACCTGTGAAATTTTACAAATAAATTATCCCTTTAAAACTTACAGAATAAATTGCCAGCAATCTTATTTCATGCAAAAAAACGAAATTTGCAAACTTTCAAACGTATTACTTTGGACATATTATGACGTGTCCTTTAATTGTAAATCGTACTTGAAAAGTTTTGTTCTATTGGTATTATCATAATTGTAAAACCATTTTAAACTTTTATACCAATAATTTATTTCTTAGTTCATACTTTAACTTAATTTGTATTTGCTTAATAGTATTACATGAACAGAAGATGCCATTTCCTTATTGTCCATAAATATGTTTTGTTAATGAATGTCGACCGCAACATTTCAACATTGCTTTCCCTTCTGTGTAGCTCCAGGTTGGGTTTTTATGTCAAACAAATGTTACAATTTTAAAACGTATATTTTTCGGTATCTTGGCCACAATTTATCAAGCTTGTTTTCAATTATAATCAAATACTTTTATACTGTATTCCAAACATCAACTCATAAAGTTACATTTGAAATACATGACAGGAATAATCATAAATGTATACGTTTTTTTTATCAAAGAAAACTATTGAATGTAAAATGTTTTGATTTTATAACCATTTGTTAAAAACAGCAATAGGATCAACAAACAAAAACACAAATCTTTAAACTTGATAGCCTAAACCGAATATTTTTTATTCGATGGCTTGAATGCAATAAGACATATCATGCCTATTTATGCCGTAATACCTTTATTCTCGGTTAACATTAAATGAATGTTTGTATTACAAGCCATACTTACCTATTTTACTACACATCATATTTGTATCCCATTTCCCAGAGCTTGTACAAGTTGCAAATCCTGTAGATCTTTTATAACCTTGATCACAGGTTAGTTCTGCTTTTGAGCCATTACTTGTTCCCGTTATCACTATTTTACCGTTTTCAATTGTCGATGGACGAGGGCACTGATCATCTATCATACAACAATTGTGGTAAGATGGAAATGCACCAATGGCGTATGAATAAAGTTTAAATATTCGTATACAAACTGGTTTAATAAAATACAAACTGGTTTTATAAATTTCAAATAAGAATAGAAACAATGATTAAACAAGAAATTTTAAAAATGACAAATATGCCTCTCGGTAGTAAGAATAAGTAATGAGGGCTCAGGGCCCCTTGATTTTTGAGTTTTTAATCGGAAACCGTTTTGGAACACAGGATCAATGTGGCTTTGACATTTGAGCCCTTGACCCAAAACCAATAGGGGTCATGTATATATGAATTAATGGGCCCATGTGTTCCCCAGTTATTTATCAGAAACGATTTCGGCCGCACAGATAGACCGACGGACGGATCGACCAACCGACCTACTGACAATATGCTGCATCCTAGTATGATGATAGTTAAAACAACAGTTTCTCTTTTTTTTTAAAGGAATTATTTGTTTAATGTTTTAGGTCAATCATTGAAAACAATTAAAGTGTGCCTTGTAAGTGATACCTGAAATATAACTCATTTTATCAAATATGCATGTATGCGCATGAAAAACAAGAAAAAGTGAAGGTCATTAAATTTCAGAAGTTAAATTAAATATTTTATTCCAAAAGGGAAAATGTTTTGTAATGATCCTTATGACACATGAAAATTAACGAAATAAAGATTCATCTTTATTGTACTCACATATTTCAACAAAAAAGACATCTGACTTAATAACTTTCGATGTCACATCCGGTGTGATCACTTCCACTTGGCATAAGTATGATATGTTACCCATTGATTTGTCTGACGCATCTATGGCATGGCTAAGTGTGACACTTTGCATATATTGACAGTCGCCGCCCTTTATTGCTGCTCCTAGTGAGCCTGTTGTAGGTATGAGCTCTCCATTTGAAACAAGAGTAGTAGATAACAATAAAACTTTTACATTATGATCGCTGCCAATGTTTGCAGTACAATTCAGGTCTAGCGTATCGCCTACTTTCATCTGCGCTGGATATGATCGGCTGGAGTTTTCTATACGACTGCCATTATTTCTCCCAACCAGAGTAATAGCATTTGGAAAAACTGTAATAAAAGGGTAAACATTGTAAATAGAAGCATAAGCATGCCTTGATTCATTTTAGGCAATTAAGGCAATTTAAAGTTATCTTTTACACTTTAAAGAAATGATATCGGTGTTAGCGGTGTATATAAAACAAAAAAGGAAAGGAAGTTATCCGCAGCCGAATTTCGAATGTGTCTGTTCCGCACCTATATAATGTAATAAACATAAGAAACAATTAAAAAGAAATATATTTTGTATATTTCTTTTCAATTATCATTTATCAAGTTTTCAACAATGTAAAACTCCCTGTACCTCAAACATTTTATGGAAGCATATGACAAACCTGATGCTTAAATGAAAATTATCAATATCATAAGTTTAACAGGATTTATTTTACAGATAATGTAAATAAAGGGAGTTAATTATAAACTTTAAGATCTTTTGTATTTAAGTCTTGGCGAAATGTTATTATTTATTAAACATATTTATCATGTATATTTAAAAATTTGTTATATAAATGTGACAAATTCTTGGATGTTTAACAAATGTGTTGGAAGGAAAATGATATATGTGTAAATACATGAATGTTTAGTTTACTACTCGTATATTATGTAACATCCTTGTTTCAGCATACAGTCTCCTTAAGCTGACATATCACTATAATAACTACACTTTGATTTGGTAGATCTAAGATAATGAGACATGCGGTATTCATGTATTATTATTTTTGACAATATTTTAACATTCAACGTAACAAAACAATTAAATATATCATGAACACTTATTATGAAAATAAAAATGGTGTACTTGTGATACATGTAAGTGGGAGTTATATAATTTTAAAAAACAATATGCTTACAGTAGACTTATAGAATGTTCTTTGAATAGCAATGACTTACAGAATCCCCTCAGCTCTTTATCTTCTTCGCTATAACACTGTCCATATTTATTGTTATACTCGACATGACACTGATATAAGGTCTGATCTTCACACGTTAAGTCTGATTCATTTACGAACAACGATAAAGTTGCGCCTTCTTTGACACTAGCACTGTAAGTAATTTCTTTTGCAAAATTACTTGTACTGTTGATAAATGTTTTGTTGTCATCGTACAATGTTGCGATTACTTCCCACGTACTCTGTAACTTCCTGTGTATTAGCATCGTTTTAAAGTCATTTGTTGTAATATTATAATTGCATGTTATCGTAATTAAGTCATCTGAGTCTTCAATGAAAGGGTTTTTTGAGATGCTAAATGAAACTCCGTTATCTGAAAAAAAAATGTTATTATCTAAAAGAATACATGTTGATAAATCAATTTAAATAACTTACACAAATAAACCGTGATTAATTTAAAGCTATCATTTTTACGGTGCCATTATACTGACATCTTTGATACATCATTTCGAAATTATATTTTTTCTTAAAAACGTAATAACATTTCGTAATTACGAAATAGTATTACGTAATTATGACAGAATATTTCGTAATTACAAAATGCTTTCCGTTTAAACGAAATAACATCTATAAAAACGAAATAACAGTTCGTAAAAACGAAATAATAATGGTAATAACGAAGTAATAAGTAGTTAATTTGAAATGATAAATAGTTAAATAAAGTAGTGTTTTATAGTATTTAACCGCTCTTCTTTTTCCGTGTTAAATGAATGGTTATTCCATTTTAACGAAACAATATTGCGTTATTATCATTTTTGTTTGAAATTATGATTTTAGCTCGACTATTCGAATAGGGAGAGCTAATGTACGCACTCAGGTGTCGGTAATGGTTACTTTTGTGCGCAGTTGTTATCTCAAAAGCTGCAGAAGTTAACGGGTTGATACTTGACACACTTACTTTAGAGGATAAAAGAAGGTCACTTTTAAAGACACACAACCTGAATATTTTGAAAGAATTATGGTCCTTTTTTAACTATAAATATTGCATGTATCATCAATCGTCCAAATTTCGGAAGGTATTTACTGAGAATCCAAGATCCATAACTCTTGTATGGATTTTGACGGAATGATTTCATTTATGAACTGTAAGAACTCTTTTATTAAATTTTCGCGTGCAATGTCAATATTTAAACCTTCTGAAGGTATTCACTTAATACTTAAGGCATCTCTTTGCAAATCTCCGGGATGATATTTGTAGGTCATAATCCAAGGCCCATAACTCTAGCATGGAGTTTGACTGAATCATAGCCCTTCTTGACTTTAGAAAATTGTTGTTTAAAGTTTTGCATGCAATAATAATTATTAAGATTAATAAAGTGTTTGAGTTGAAACCTAAAACATGTTGTTGGGGTCATTATTGGACGTCCATAATTCTGACATGTATTTTGACTAAATTATGGCCTCTCTTGTAACTTACAAAAGTCTTTGTTCAAGTCTAGCATGCAACATAAGTCAATAAAAGCACTAAAGGTATTCATTTAAATCTTATACGTATCTGTTGTATCACAATTCAATTTTACGGTCACCGCCCAAACGAATTATGGTCCTTAATGAAATTTATTCGTTACGGTTTTGCATGTAACATCAATTTTCAAAATTACTTTAGGTATTCGTTTAAATCTTATTACATATTTTTGTGACCATATCAAGAGGTCACTTTACAAGGCTCATAACTCTTGGCATATATTTTGACTGGGTTATGACCCTTTTGAAATTTAAAAAATGTTGGTTAAAGTTGTGCATGCAATAACTATCTTTAAAATTAATGAAGCTATTCACTTGAAACTTAAATCGTAACTTTTAAATCATAACTGAAGACCACTTTACATGCCCCATAGCTCTGACACTGCCTTTGAAACTTTCAGGACTAAATATTATTTAACATCTTCTTAAGCTATTTCTTAATAAAATCTCTGAAATGCCGTTTTGGTTTCTGTTTTTCGTTATTAGGTTGGATATACATGTACAAAATGCTTGTAAAGTAAACCAATAACGACACCGGAGTGCTTAAAATAGCTCTCTCTATACATATCTATACTTCGAATAGTCGAGCTAAAAACGAAATGGCATTTCGTAACAATAAAATGGTATTTCGTAAAAACGAAATAATACGTATTTCGTAATTACGAAATATTATTTCCTAAAAACGAAAAATCATGTTATTTAACGTGTAAGAAGATGGTCGGTTAAATACTATAAAGTACTACTTTATTTTACTACTCATTATTTCGTAATTATGAAATTTTCGTTTAAATTTCATTTTTCACCTTTTTGACAATTACATGAAACGATTTATCTTAAATTAAAAAACTTATTTAGAAAAGCTGAAGCCCGCTTTAAGTTTTAACAGCTTTTGTTACGGTGTTTATTTATGTATGAAATTAAGAAAGAGGATTAATTCAATCCACATTGCGTCAAGTATTTCAGGGCAATGCTTTAAACAAGTCATTATCAATTCCAAAAATAAATATACCAGAGTGTCTTAATTTTCATTTAATGTGCATAAAGTTGTCTCACTAAGATCTGCCATTGTTTTACTAACAACATCAAAAATGTCATGAACTGATCATTTCTCAAATTGTAAAGGTTTTACTTTTCATATGTTTGTATTAATGTTTAACAAGATACCTTTTGGAACACAACTTGGTGCTGATACTGTCCACGTTCCATTTTTCAGGCATTCGGATGTGACATCTTGTTCACAAGAGCCAGCGATGTAATAATTGCCATTGCATGTAAAAGTAGCAACCGATCCGATCCATGTACTGTTAGAAAACTGAACATTTCCATTTAGCAATTCAGGAGACGTGCAGTCTGAAAATCATATATTAGTTTAGAGTCAAGAAAGTGGCTCTTAAGCTAAAAAATCGGTTCTAGGTTTGAAAATACAATGTTTTTTTAAATAATAAATTAAACAGCGTAAAGAATAGGTGCCCGATAAATAATCGTCTTGCATCAAAATGAGATTTGCACATACGACAGCCATATATTTTAAACAAACTATGTAGCAGTGCAAACTATGTTGCAGTGCAAACGGATCAATGGAAAAGAGAATTGTGTAATATAATAAGTTTTCAATTAATGTTTTAGACTCAAATTTGGCTAAAGTATCCTTTAAAGGTGAAAGTTCATGCAGCCTGTTACTAGTTAATGTTTTAAACTGTAAACTATAAGAACAGCAATAAGAAAGAGGAAAATGTCATACTAGTTGCTGGCGGTTTTGGTTTAGGTGTTATAATTCCAATTGTTGTAGTAGATGAAGCTGAAATACAATATTTCTTAAAGTTAGTGTTAACCACTGCGTTTGGTAACAGTGCAGAGTATAACAAAGATAAAACAAAATAATTTATGCTAATTTACCAACAAACCTTTTCCATTCAACTGTTAAAAATGATTTTCTACTATATAGAGTTTTCTTGCCGATACGAATCAGAAATACATGATTGTACTAAATATAAGCTTACCAGTACAATAACACTAAAGATTTGTTTAACATTAGAAAATTTCACATTTTTTCTTTGAATTTAAAATAAATGAAAGATGAACGCTTTTAATCAGACATTCTAAGGCATAAATACTAATGTTATTTTGAATAATACAAAATTCAAGTTTTTTTAAGGTCATAATGGCAAGGACTTTGTCATGATGCAATTTTGGCCGCCTTGCTACTCCGCAAGGATATTTCAATATCATTAATAATAATGTAATTTCGATGCATATTGAAATTGACAAGTTTTAACTACACATGTAGCTTATGGCGTTTTAAATTGTAAAAGTCAAAGTAGTTTGTTGTTGGCCATCTGCATTATGTAGTATGTATTAGATTCTGAAATGCCATGAATAAAAAACTCGAATCTACTCAAAACTTAGATATTTCTGCAAAAACAATAAAACTGTCTTATGTTGCTTGTGTTTTGCTTCTGTTGTTCAATCACTTGCCTTCTAATTGATTACGACCCCATGGGTCACTTACATTTAAATCAATACATGTACATGCAACTTGCAAAGAAAAGCAATGCCAGATAAATAATCGTCCAGCATCAAAATGAGATTTCATATACGACAACATAAAATATTATAGCATGTCTTCTTGAGATATATTTTAAACAAACTATGTTGCAGTGCAAACTATGTAGCAGTGCAAAAGGATATTTGGAAAGATAATTGTGTAATATGATAATTTTTTTATTAAATGTATTAGACTCAAATTTGGCTAAGGTATCCTTTAAAGGTGAAAGTTCATGCAGCCTGTTACTATTTAATGTTTAAAACTGTAAACTATAAGAACGAAGGAAGAAAAAGGAAAATGTCATACTTGTTGCTGACGATTTTGGTTGAGTTGTTCCACTTTTTGTAGTAGATGAAACTGAAATACAATGTTTCTTTATGTTAATGTTAACAACTGCGTTTGGTAACAGTACAGAGTATATCTATGATAAAACATAAATATTAATGCTAATTTACCAACAAATCTTTTCCTTTCAACTGTTAAAAATGATTTTCTACTATATAGAGTTTTCATGCCGATACGATACTAAATATAAGCTTACAAGTACAATAATACTAAAGATTTGTATAACATTAGAAAAGTTCACATTTTTTCTTTGAATTTAAAATAAATGAAAGATGAACGCATTTAATCAGACATTCTAAGGTATGAATACTAATGTTATTTGAATAATACAAAATTCAAGTTCTTTTAAGGTCATAATTTCAAGGAATTTGTCATGATGCAATTTTGGCCGCCTTGTTACTCCACAAGGATATTTCAATATCATTAATAATAATGTGATTTCGAAGCATATTCACATCGTCCTGTTTCAACTACACTTGTAGCTTATGACGTTTCAAATTGTAAAAGTCAAAGTAATTTGTCATCTGCATTAAGTAGTATGTATTGCCATTAATAGAAATCAAATCTAATCTACTCAAACCTGTGATGTTCCTCCAAAACAATAAAAATATTTTATGTTGCTTGCGTTATACATCTCTTGTTCAAGTCCGAGCCTTTTAATTGGTTATGACCTCATGGTTCACTTACATTTAAAATGAATGCATGCGGATTGCAAAGAAATGCAATATACACGATATTGCTGTGCAATTTAGATTTAAACATTTCGTATTCAATTTGAAAAATTCTAATTTGAATTGAAGTTTTCCTTTGACAAGTGCACAAATGCATGCATCTAATTAACAAGAAATAAGGGATTCACAATAAATTATTGATTTTTTTGTAGTCGTCGTTATTACTATAGAATTGTTCTCAGTTGATGTACTAAGTAGAAATTAAATAGACTGTATTTAAAGTGAATAAATGTCTGCAGCTGATTGATCATATTATAACCAAAAATGATGTTTTTCCACAGTTTTAATATTTGTCATTTCGGTTTTTTCAGAATTTAAAAGGTAAGATATATTTAATGTTTTTATGTTCATATAAATGATATAATGATAAATTTGTTAATAACAACATTATCTGAATGTGTGAAAAAGTATTTGAATTAATGCAAAGTCTCTAGGGCTTGTGTTTCAATATCAGTATATATAATACAAAGTATATATATTACATTCAACTAAAAAGGATAATGATAATTTTAGACTGTATCTATTGTGAAATACTGTCAGTGGATCTGAGTATACGACGATAATCTATGTTTATAAAAATATCTAAAACTAACCCAGAGTATAAATTAATCAGTTTGTAAACCGTTGTTACATTTTATTTTTATTTATTTTCTCATTGCTATTGAACAAAATGTTGTTTTTCTTTTTGTCAAAAAGCAAATATTGCAAGGATCACATGTTTTCAGCCATAATTTAATGCTTTTTACCTTTCGGTGTTACTGTCGTTGTAGTGGTACTACTGGAAACAACTGTTGTGCCTGAAATAGAAATTGTAGTTAATGTTTTACTTTTATGTTATAATGTATTTTAAATGAAATGTTAGGTCTATATATGCATCACTTCGGTCTTGACATTAATTATGCTGAAGCAAACATATTTAATCCATAGACTTTCTTAAGCTATGATCAAATATTTGCATCAAACATTTGGTACCATATTTAACTTTACCTAGAAGCAAGGGGTTAAGTTATTACATTACAAACAAATACTTTCGTATGAAAGTATTCATATTGTCATACTAATATTATTTTTAGGACACACACACAAAACCTTAAAATATTGATTTTGATAAAAGCGTACAACGTTCTTTATGTTAATATACTGAATGATAATTATAAACTATAAATGTGTGTTCGTTCATGATAATGCATAATTTCAGCACTTTATCAGTTCTGTCCGTGTAAAATTGGAGATACTAAGTGGTTTGAAGTTTGAAAAACCTGTCAAACGAAAACAAGATACGAAATGTTTATATGTCAAGTGTGAATGGTTTAAATAATGAAGAAGAAGAAGAAGAAGAACTTTTATTTGCACTAAAGCCCTAAATAGAGCCATTGAATACAAAAAATAGAAACATGGCAATACGTGACAAGAAGTCGAGATGGCATGTGTATTCACGGGAAACAATTCTTTGGTCAATGGGAAAGTAGCTCATACACTTTAAGCTGATTCACTGTGTCATATAAAATTACCAAACCAAAGAGTTTCAGGGAACAATATTAAACGAAGATTGGTTACACATGACATCTCGCTTGGGAGAGGCAGAATAATGTAAATATTACAATACGACAAAACATATTAATTACTATATAATAATAATATGGTTAACGAGGTTGGATGCTCCTAAATAATTAGCTCCTAATAATGTATAAAAGAAAATCGAGTTATTTTGAAAGAAGTGGCATTTGATTAAATGTTGAAAGAATTACTTTTTTGTTCTTTGCATAAATTTGTTTGCCTATATGTCTTAACAGTTAACAATTATTATGGTGGACATATGATGCGTACATTTATCTGGCATATATCTTTTTCCTCTTTAAAGAACCTTATTGAGTTTAAAAAAAACTAAATACAAACAAAAAAATGAAATACTTCCATAGATAAAAGGATGCATTTAAAATACAGAAATATAATAAATATATATTTAAAGTCGGTTTCTTGCACGATTCTTAGCCTGGTTTGTATGCAGCGCTTTTTATTTTGGGTCTTTTTGCACAATAAAAATAATTCTTCTAAAAAACAAAACGTCGTGAGGGAATGATCTTTAATTTCCAGCAGAGATCTACATCAAATGGTACGTAAAAATTATAGTTCCTTCATGTCAAAAACCTCAGTGGAATCTCTTTAAATGTGATATGACGGTTATATTAAATAATGATATCATTTTTAACTGGTATTTCAGAATAGTTTGAAATGCTGTGTGTTGCATTTCTAATGTCCAAGGGACTCCACTAAAGATTAGACATGACGGGACAGACAGACAATTATTTTTCTAAATTACTGTTCCATTTGATGAATGTCTAGACCAATAAATTGTGTGCAAAATTTCAAAAAAAATAATCAGTCCGTTTTTCCTAAATGTTTATACTAATTGTAAAAAGAAATTATCAACAGTTGATCAATACGATTTTCAATTTATTCTAAGTATATTTCATAAATATCTTTTGCATAGCTTTCTGTTTTACGAGCCCAAGTAGACCTATGAAGAATTTTTAACGCTTATTACCTGTGGGTGTTAGTGTCGTTGTACTGGTAGCACTGGAAACAACTGTTGTTCCTGAAATACAAATTGTAGTAAATGCACTGCATTTATGTTGCAGTTATAATGTATTTTTAATGAAATATTTGGTCTATATATGCGACACTTCGGTTTTGACATTAATTATGCTGAAGCAAGCATATTTCATGCATAGACTTTCTTAAGCTATGATCAAATAGTTGCATCAGATATAAAGTACCATGTTTAACGTTAAGGTGAAGCAGGGATGTTTAATTATCACTTATAAGCAAGTTCGTTCATAATGAGTGTCTTCAAATTGCCGGATAACATTATTTTTAAGACACACACAAAGCCTTAAAATATTGATTTTGATACTAGCGTACTTTACGTAAATATACAGAATGATAATCATAAACTATAAATGTGTGTTCGTTCATGATAATGCATAATTTTAAAACTTTATCAGTTCTGTCCGTGTAAAATTGGAGATATCAAGTGGTTTGAAGTTTGAAAAACTTGTAAAACGAAAACAAGATACGAAATGTTTATATGTCAAGTGTGAATGGTTAAAAAAATGTATAGAAGAAAATCGAGTTATTTTAAAAGAAGTGGCATTTGATTAAATGTTGAAAAAAAATCTTATTTGTTCTAGCATAAATTTATTTGCCTATATGTCTTAACAGTTAACAATCATTATGCTAGACATTAGATGGGTCCGTTAATCTGGCATATACCTTTTTTCTCTTTAAAGAACCTTATTGAAGTAAACAAAACTAAATACAAACAAAAAATGAAATACTTCCATAGATGAAAGGATGCACTTAAAATGGAGGAATTTTACAAAAGATAATAGAGAAATATACTCAGAGTAAATTTATATTAAAATCGGATTCTCGCACAATTCTTAGGCTGGATTGGATGCAGCGTTTTTTTTTATTTCGTGTCTTTTTATGCACATTTAAAGTAATTATTATGGGGAAAATGGAGAAAGGGAATGATTTGAAATTTTGAGTCGAGATCTACATTAAATGGTATGTTTCAAGTCCCATCATGTCAAAAACCAAAGTTGAGTTATTAAAATGTGATACGACGGTTGGATTGAATATAAATATAATTTTGAACTGGTATTTAAAAATAATTTGAAATGCTGTGTATAGCATTTCTAATGTTAAAGGGACTTAACTGACGTTTTTAGAAAAGACGGGACTGACAATCATCTTTTGAGATTATTGTTCCATATGATGTATTCTAAACCAATAACTTGTGTGCAAAATTTTAAACTTTTTGCTCGATCCGTTTTTCCTGAATGATAAGTCTAATTGTGAAAAGAAATGATCAACAGTTGAAAGCTTGCAGCATTTGCCACTCAAGTCGGGCTAAAATAGCACAAAATACGATTTTTAATAATCTGAGTATATTTTATAAATATCTTTTGCATATCTTTTACGAGCAAAAATAGTTCTATGTAAGCAATTAAATTTTATTTTTAAGCTGCTGGACCAAAGTTAAGTTATTTTCATAACTACGAGTCGTGTGAGTTCCATCAGACTTTTCGCTCTCTAGATAAAAAATGATAAATTACATAGCCAGATAGACTTTACAAAACATAATTACATATATTCAAAACGGCTAGTTAGACTTATAACAGTCGCAAAGCAAAAATAAACTAGATACAGGCATATAACGTTTTTAAAACTTAACAACATTTGTTAGACGCTTTATCAAAGGCACATTATTCATCAGAAAAGAAAAAAGGGGCAAGTATATGTTTTAAAATGGTGCAATAGTGGATGTAGTAGAACGTGTGAGATGCTTATAACTTGAAGAAAATAGTTATGCCTGTGAAATAATTTCTCATAAAGGTAGCAAAATGCAAACAAAATAGTATTTTGACTTCCATATAAAATATTAAATCATTATCATGATTGAACACTCATTGTTAAAACGCAAAAGAAGCCAAAGATGGTTCAGCTGTATGACTAATGAGTAACTTTTTTGAAACTATATCAAGACACCGAAAATGAGAGCTTATAAAACAATGATAATATTTCTGAGGCTTACTGTTGTTAATTCAAATATGCATGCATTCAGATATTCAGTTTGCAGGTATCCCCTTTCATGTGTGTTAAAAAAACGGTTATTATGCATTATCTGTGTGTCATTTTGGAAACAAAAATATATTCAATATCAAACATGCACATTTCTTATCTATATAGCAAATCATCAGACAATTTTGATAAACGTTGACAAAATTTAACCTACAGATTTTTATAACTTGAATATTTGAATTCAATAAAAAATATTGAAAAATATATATAAATCCTACGTAGCTTCATAAATTGAAGAACAATGTTTACTTTTTATGCGTTATCTCTTTTCAATGCATTATCTTGTCATCTTACATTAAATTAAACGGTTTTGGCAGGATCAAGTGTAACGAATTTATTTGTCTTATCGGGTATTTTGCACAAGTTTATTAAACTAATGCCATCTCCTTAACGATATGTATGTTTGTATAGACCAAAGTTATTTAAACAAGGATCTTTTAAAATTGCTTCAGCATAACCTCTTGGGCCGACACCTCTGAGCAATGACAACCTCCTCGGAGCGACCGTTTAGTTTTATTCCGTTCATATTTAATTAAATTTAAACCGCTTTAGTTTACAAATTTATTTTAGTGCGATTATGTTGGAGGCTATAAGTTTACTGAAACACTACCGATTCTGTTCCTCGAACCGACCAGTACTAAGAAATCAATGTAAAGTTTCTTGCTCAAGGAAACAACGCCCTGCCCTTGACAGGGTTTAAACCCTCACAATCCTTATTAGATTACTAGTCCGACGCGCTAACCACTCGGCCACGCCGCCACTAAACCGCCTTACCATTTATGAACCTAAAACTCTGTACAATAATGGTGTATTTATTAAGAAAACACATCAACATGTTGTTTTTTTCTCAAAAAGTGAATAACCTTACTTAAAATAATTATTAAAAATTCTGAAAAAAACATTGCAATTGGGTGTCAATACTAAATGTACACACATTGTTGTGGGTCAAATGTTTCGGATTTAATATAGTTTCGTTGAGGCTTAAACAATGCGCCTTTTAGATATTAAGTATTATCTAGAATTAAGTTAACAAAAAATCTACACATTCAACAAATGGAGACAAAATCAGTCAGCACAATTGTGACATCCGATCTTGGTGTGCACTGTTAGCTTTTTAAGTCCCGTACTTATTTTTAAATTTTCCCTAAAATTATGATTTGTTTTGTCTAGCTTGAAGGATAAACAAGTCCATTTAGATATTTAGCGTGCTTAAGGTTAAGGAACAAGCATACATGTATAAGTGTCTTATCATGTACAACATGCAGGAAAGACATAAATAAAACGTGTACAAACCCAATTCCCTAATACATACATAGGGTGTGAATGAGTAGCAAAATGTAAGTTTATTGGTAAGTTTTGTTGTAACATGTTCTTAAAATGCATGTTTTGAAGATAAGTTGACGCTTATTTGAACTTATCACGAGCCCGCATTTTGGAATTACTGTTTTCCACTTAAGAAACATGGTCATGACAAACGAAGTGCACAAACCACGATCCCAAAGATAAAGAATAAATACATTGAATTTTTTTAATTTACAAAACTGTTTACAATGAAATGATAGTAACGTACCATATATCAGTATGAAAATATGTAACCACGATAACTCCATTGTTCCTATTTTCATCAGTTTTTGTTATATAGTTATCATACGTCCACTTCGCAAATATGCATCCAAATAACACGCGGGTATTTTTGTATTTCAAATATCTGAACACTTGTCATAACGGACTGCAACTAGCTTACTCTATATTTGAAAGACGATAACCCACAATGCATATTGACACAATGTATTAGATAGCAAAATTTTATTAGATTTGATAATGTTAAAATTGAAGTGGAGTATTTGTGATAAATTGTGCAGATAACGTAGAGATAAATCTTCCTTCCATGAAAACTTAAATATAAACAGGAACTGATATATGTTTAACCAGAAAAGTTTAAATAACTCTTAAAAGAAACTCCACTAAGGTTCAAAAACCCAAAACATAATTAAACGTCGAATTTCTTACATACTAGTAGATCAGCTGGTACACTTGAAACAGAAAGATATACAAAAGATAATAAAGAAATATACTCAGGAATAAATTGTTAATCGTATTTTTGAGCTATTTTAGTCCAATTTGAGTTACGCTTCTCAATTTTGCGGCATTTTTCACACTTCTAATGATAATTATCCGAAAATGTTGACCAACAGTTCATTATAGGAAAACGTTTAGGATAAAATTTAAATCAGCCTAAAATATATAAAGACTGCCCCACTCTTTTTATGTAATGAACGTAAACGGTAAATTCTAATGGATAATTACGAAAATTTCGTTTGAATCCATGCATTGTTTATTGTTAATGTGGAATAAATTTTTATATTAAAAGGAATGTTATGGCTAAATGAAAACTTATTTTGACATGCCCTTGTTCACTCATTTATACCCTTGGATTGGCATAATGCCACTTTAACAAATTAACAGATTTTTAATTTGGTTTCTACTTCATGCTAGGCTTTTAGTACCAGCTTAATCATTTGAACTTTGATTTTTTTTACTGTCAATGGAAGTGTAGATGAAATCATAATGTTATAGGTCAATATTATGAGGTTATCATACATTGTCGACTACAGCACTGGATTCTTAAAGACGAGTTCACAGCTAGCCGAGACCGACGTAGATTTTTTAGCTGTGTAGAAGTCCAAAATTTAATCAGTATTGTTCACAACAATGTATAATGACCTCTTTATTTCAGATTTTAGACATGTTGACAAAATCGTGTTGCTTCAAATACTATAAGGTATTGGATTTAATTTTTTTACCCTAAAAAATTAAATTCAGTGAAGTGGTGTTAATTTATCTCCATGCACTTTCGGCGGAGTATTAGCCAACGATATCAATGTTTAGCCAAAAATAGGTCACTGTACGGCGGAAAATGAGAACCTGAATGTACAGTAACTTGAGACAATATGAATAGAAGGTAGCCCTGAAAAGGGCTGTTGGTGCCCAGCAAAGGGCTTGCCATTCAAGTCGTCACTCTCTGTGTAAGGGGCTCCTCGCCGTCCCTGTCTTCTCTGTAGGGCCAAACCCCTCGGCATTAGTCAGGACATCGGAAGCTGTATTGCAGTCCCAAGTTTTTCAAATCGTCTGCCGATGTCATGTGTCTTTCCTGTGAAGTGCACACTCCGAAGGGAAAGAGAAGGCAACGATGTTGTAACATTACAAATAAATACGTTTCCTAATACGTAAATTTAGATGTTGTCCAAATAATAATATTATCAAAACACATAACCTTCAGACTGGTATATATCAGGCGTCATTTACATAAAATGTTAAGTGATAATCACAAACTATGAGTCTGTTGGGTTTTTTAATGATAAAGCATAATTTCAAGCAATTGCAAGCATTTTAACTTGTAAAATTTCTTTGACATTGTTTTTTATTTTCCTTTAAAATATTGTCACAATAAATCGGTGGCGATGTAACTACACGAAAAACAAGATCAGAGAAAACTATATTCATTAAATATTGACAAAGGTCAAAATTTTTCATAAAATGTTAACGCAGATATGTACATAAATTCATTTTATAGGTGTCATCTCTCGGAAGCCACTTTCATGTGCGATAGAGTATGTTAATGCTTATTTTAACTTATCACGAGCCCGCTTTTTGAAATTACTGTTGTTGTCATTTAAAAAAGCGTGGACGTAACTACGTAAGTGTAAGACTATTTAATCAAATGTTAGTTATGTACCATGTAACAATATGAGAATATGTAATCACGACAGCTCCATTGTTAATATTTTCATCTGTTTATATTTATGATATACATGTATAGTCACCAATAATCAACATTCTTTACAAATGTGCATCCAAATAACACCAGTTACTCTTTTTGTAATTCAAATACTTTTAATAACTTGTTATAACGGGCGGCAACTAGCCTTCTCAGTGTTTGTAACAAGATAACCCATAATGCAGTGTGTCAGATAGCAAGATTTCATTACCTTTGCTAATCTTTAAATAAACGAAACATTTTAAGTGGAGTATTTGTGATACATGTAATTGTTCAAACTGTGATAAGATACAAAATGGCGCATATTTTAAAAACGACCTTATCATTCATTTCATAAATATATGAAGATTTAACAGTAAGTGTATTGAATAGTAAGTCAACTTCACAAATTCGTGAAGTTGAAATAGTGATTTTTTGTATGTTGAAATCCCAAATAGTTTGAGTTTGTGAAGATGAACCCGAGCTAGAAGTCAAGAAGTTGAAATGTCATCACTGGTCGTTCGTATATTAGTGTTTCTCTTTCCTAAAAGTATTCGTTTTAATCAGTAATTCCGCGTTTTCTTATCTCGCGGTTTGATTTCCGCAAAACCATAACTCATTTGTTTCGTTTGGAGTGTTTTGAACTAACAATGTCTGCTGTAAACAAAATCATTTCCCATTCCAAAATGCATCTGAGTTTCTTATATTGTCATGTTCAGTGTACGTTCCACGAACCGGCAATTATCATTTGGTAACTTCAAACAACTTATTCCATAACATGAGTGAGTCTACAGTTTCAACTTACCCAGCAAAAATAGATGCATTTATTTGTGATGTAACATTTGACATAGGGTAGTGTGTCTGATTTCCTTATAATGCCACTGGACACATAGTCAAGCTACACAGTATGTTAAAAGCTGAAGTACTGTGTAAGGAATTAAGGAACAAAGTTATAAAGTATTCGTTGAAACATCAAGTGTCATAGCTCAAACAAGTTCAGCTTAACTGAGGATATAGTTTAAAAATAATTGAATATGATGTAGATTTGATGAAGATGTTGAAAGTCATGATGTAGGATTCAACGTAAACCAATTAAATGAATCAGGTTTAGGAGACCGTCAGATGGTTCTTCATATTCTAATGCAAAGGTGAAAATAGTCATGACGATTACTACCTTTCTGATTCATTTGTCAAAGAACTATGTCCAGGCGTGGTTGTTATTTATTTGATTACAATATATATACCCGGAAAAATTAGACTAGGAGTTAAGAGATGCTTCTATTAATAGACATTTTGATGAAGCATGGACGGAAAATCCAGCGGCAAATATTTCCAGTGAGTTAGTTGGATATGGTATTGAGACAAATCACTGTTTCATGATAGAGTTATACCACAGAAGAGTTATTAATGGTAGTTTGTAATTATTTCATTTATTTTTACATTCTTATATTCTTATTTATACCTTTAAAATGTTTTCCCTCTATAGAAAATCGTTTGTTTTTTTTTTTTTTTTTTTTTTTTTTTTTTTTTTATTAAGTTTATAATTATAAAGATGCGTCAATTATTTTCTCATGCAAATATGTTCTAAAAGGCATGTAATACAATTCATAGTAAGTCTTACATGGAGACAATTTGACCAACAACAATTGTTCTAGAGAGTGAATATTTCGGAAATTTGGTGTCTTATATTTTGCAATTTCGAAGTAAATGTCAAGGAAACAGTGATGTATTAGTCGTTTCTTTGTGTGTTTGTTTGTTTTTTGTTTCTTTTTTTCCTTTGAATTCCGACCAAGTTATTCAAACAAATATTTAGAGCCGCAACAAAGAAAATATTAATTAATTCTTCAGTTCCTGATGGCATCAAGTCTAATTTGAACCAGAACTCTGCATGTCTTTCTGAGCATAAATGTTACTCAGTTACTTTTTTCAACATCATCCTTAACACAATTTTTTTCTTATATTGTCTTTAACTTTCATAATTTATTTGTGAATTATAACCAAGTCAAATTTCTTTTTAGTAGGATGAAAAAAAAAAAAGTTACAAGTGGTCAAATCTATTAAAATTAAGTTGAAATATCTAAACAAAACAAAAGCAAAAACAGAAGTGTGAGTTGGGTTTTTTGTAAACCGATCCGCGATCTGTGTTCCGTACCAAGAAACATTGCGCCATGAGTCCCGCATAATAAAAAAGTGAGCACGTTGTGCTTAGGTCGACTAAAAAGAATCGTCCACGCGCTCATCTTTATGACATACGCATGGTACCAGTTTGACAATCTAAATACATTTAATCAAATAAAGTGTACAATACCAATATTTCTGTGAAATGTAAAAACGTGATTTTAACAAGGTGCCCTCGGAAATACATAAAAAACAACCACTTATTATACTAAAAAGACTAGCAATTAGCGATCTTGCATATTTAAGACAATATAGAAACAAGAATAAGTAACCTCCATTTAATAGTTAATTTTCAATGATCTATTAGAATTTAAAACTTAAGATTGCATTATCTATCAGTGCGAAATTTTGCGGACAAATGTAGATACTTGTATTTTAAAATGTGCACCAAAAATGTACGAGAAGCCACCATTTAAAATGCAGATTTCATATTTCATCAACTGATGAAATTACACATGTGAAATGCATGATAAGATTACTCATTAGTTTTTAGTTCCTTGTATATAGAGAATATTGAATGAATGTCGATTTAATACGTAAATTAGTGAATGAGTTGAATAAAATCATAATTTGTGCGAGCCTCTGGCGAGCAAAATATTGTTTTTACATAGGGTTCGTTAAATTCAGTGTTAAATGTACACAAATCGAATATTCAGTTTATGACATGTCCAAAATAAGAACAGTTTACAGTAAGAAACTATCATCTTTCATTGACGCGCCTATGTGTGACACTAACATTAGCACGCTTTAAAGGGACTCCACTGAGGTTATTTGGCATGACGGGCCACATACTATTTTTTGCAGATTAATGTTCTATTTGATAGAGATCTGGACCAATAACTCGCGTACAATATTTCAGATCGTTTGCATATTCTGACTTTCCAGAATAATTTATTAGAATTGTGAAAAATGACCCAAAATTGAAAAGCGTTGCAACGCTTTTCACTCAAATCGGGCTATGAACAGCACAAAAATACGACTTACAATTTGTTTTCGAGTACAAAAAAAATGTATATTTTTTATCTATATTTTGCATATATTTCTGTTAAAACTGCACCAGCTGATCTATATAAGAAATAAAAAAATGTTTTTAGGCTTTTGGACCTCCTTTTTGGAGTTCCTTTAAAGCTATAATGGTATATAGCGTCGAAAAAGTTATTACGCTTTTATAGTGAAATGTCGTTTTTTTATTAAATGGCTTTTGCAACTCCGTAAATACTTTGACATGGCATCATTTGCGTTACATAAACATAGTGTAAAATGCGCTAAATGTTAGCTTTACACTACAGACGCGTCAGTGATAACAAAATGTTCTTTTTCATTTAAAACGGTCTTCATTTTAAGTGTGTTGTAGGTTCATAACTGAATTTATTGAACATTCTATGTATTACATTCCAGCGCCGTGGTTTATGTGAAAAAGGTTATAGATGTAATTAGGATCAAACAAAACTTCTAAATGCAAAAAAACAAGAACGCCTGATGTATGCTTTTATTTTATAACTACCTAATATTATTATCATTTATTTAAAGAAAAGCAAAACAAGGAAACACGAAAAATAAAATTTAACACTTAACTTTAACATGAGTCTAAAATAAACAATATTATGCAATTTAATATCCTATGTATTTAAGAATTGTCATCGTGTTTATATTTTTAAAAGTTCCGCTTACCTATTTTACTACACATCATATTTGTATCCCATTTTCCAGAGCTTGTACAAGTTGCAAATCCTGTAGATCTTTTATAACCTTGATCACAGATAAGTTCAGCTTTTGAGCCATTACTTGTTCCCGTTATCACTATGTCGCCATTCTCAATTGGCGGTGGACGAGGGCACAGTTTATCTAACATAAAACAAATTAAAAAGTGGTGTATACTAGAAGATCAGAAACAATGTGTATAAAACAATTAAATATTCGTATAATTTGTAATGCAGATATGGTTTTATATGCTAAAACGACAGTCATCAGGGCAAGCAAACTTCAAAATTTGTTCCGACTTTCGAGATTTCCTTTTTGACAGTTATCATGGTACCTTGCATTTACCACTATCGTCCATCAACAAGCTCAAACAAAACGATTTTAAATACTGCCGTTTTGGGCGTTCTATTTTTCTTTTGGTTCGTTCTGTTTAAGAAGTGAATGTCGTACAAGAGAGCCTTTTAAGTTTACATACTACGTTCAAGAATTTGCAGTTGATTTATCAATTTATGCATGTATGTTTAGTTTTAAAGTATATGTTGGCAACAAAAGGGATAAAAAGGATTATGCCATTTAAAAAAGAGGTTAAAGCTTTATCTTTTGAAACACATCCCATTTTCGGGAACTACCTTGTCATGGTCCATATAATTTTATCACACATGTGAAGTAAATATTTCATAATAAGTGTACTTACATATTTCAACAAACAAAACATCTTCTGACATAACTTTTTTCAAAGACCCATCAGGAGACTGCACTTCAACCTGACATGTGTATGATATGTTACCCATCATCTCATCTGTTCCATCTATTGTGTGACTTATTGTGGCACTTCGTATATACTGGCAGTTATCGTCCTTTATTGATGTTCCTGGCGAAGAGTTTCCTTTAGGCTTATCACGTATAAATTGGCCATTTGAAAACGGAGTAGTATATAACCAAGATATCGTCACATTAGGATCGCTACCAATGTTTGCTGTACAATTCAGGTCTAGTGTATCGCCTAGTTTCACCTGGGCAGGAAATGATCGACTGGCGTTTTCTAAAAGAACGCCATTTTTGCTTCCTTCCAAAGAAACATCTTTTGGAAAAACTGTAAGAAAAAGTAAAAGCTTGAAAAAAGAAACAGGTTTTGAAGCATTTCAATGTTGAGATTTTCATCAACCTTTTTATAATTACTTAAACAATACAATATTAGTGCACATAAAAAATCTTACACCAAATGATGTAAAGTTATAATAACATTTAACTCTTTAGTTCTGTTTGCTTATTTCAAAACTAAATTATTTGTCAGTATGTACAGAAAGACAAAATAGATGTGAAATAAGTAACTTGAATACTGACAATATGATAAATGTGATAAAAGTACCAGCATGCACTTTCTAGTGTACTGCATTTTAAATCATATTCCAAAAAAGGTTTTACTCATTTTACTATGTAATAATCTTGTTGCCAAATGATTATGAACAATAATTTTAATTAATAATTTGTAACAGTTCATGAATTTCATGTGAGGATTTTCCTTCTTTTGTGATTATGATTAAGTTAACTGTATACTACATGAATATTTCATAGTAGTGTGATTTAAGAAGTCGTGTTATCAATTTTATTCAATTATGAGAATTTGTTGTTTGCAGTAACTGAATCTTAACTTCTAAGAATTCGAAAGGGTAAGTAAACTTGTAGCATAGTCTGGGGACCTTTCTCTTGAAAATGTTTTAGAGTTAAAATATACATGCACAGTGCGTTAACTGGAGTGCAGGTATAAGTTACCCGCACTCCAGAGCATGCCCATTGATTGGCTAATGTTTACTGGGGTTTGCTCAATGTGACTGCAGAAAAACAGTAAGCGACAGAAATATCATATTCAGATGCTCGTGCATTTGGTAACTTTTTCTGGGGTCTCATATTGTGACAACAAGGAACGTGTTTTTATGTTTGACTATGATACAAAAGACAAAGAACATCAAAACACTCCGCAATCTGATTTATACTGGAGGGCTACGCCCCCTCGTGCAAATCAGAAAGCCTCGTGTTTTGATGCTCTTTCTATTACTGATATGATGAATCAAATCTTCAGAATTCTGATAAATTATATAACTGGTAACTTATAAATGATGTGTCATTAAACCACAAACAGCAATCATAAAAAAGTGTATTTGAAAAAAATATGACTTACAGAATCCCTTCAGCTCTATATCGTCTTTGCCAAATTGATTACAAACTGTATTTTTATACACGGCATAACACTGATATAATGTTTCATCTTCACACGTTATCACTGACTCATTTATATAAAACGATAGAAATACGTCTTGCTTGAATCCACCACTGAATAACGATTTCGTTAAGAAATTACTTTTTGGATATATAAGTAAACCATTTTTGTCGTCGATTGTTGCAATTGATTCCCATTTATCCTCAATTCTCCTTCGTAAGCCCATATTTTCTATATTATGTATTGTAGTAGAAGAATTACATATTATTGTTATAAAATCCACTGAGCCTTCTATGAAAATGTTTTCTGAAAAGCTTAATGAAACATCTTCAGCTGAAAAATAAGATATTTATCTAAATGAATAATATATATAGCAAAGAACTATTATAACATACGCAAGAACGCACACACTCAAACATGGGATAACTAAAAAGTAAAGTGCGCTGAAGTTTTTCATTTGTACATATTTTATACTAGTGTATGTGCTCATTTACATATTGTATATAAATTTAAAGAATAAGCATAACCATTGTTTTAATCTTAAGGCACATTTTGCCAAAGAAATGCCATCATTTTTGTTTCTCAAAAAAGTTGGGTTTTTTTTGTATTTTGTTATGGTTTCCAAAAACATACTCATTTGCTATATTTATGAACTATCTTTTGCATCTTTAGTTCTGTTGGCAATTGGTATAAGTATAGTGAATAAGTATTGTGTATTGAAGTCAAAAATCTAGTTTGTTTTCATCTTTGTACCTTTATGGCACATAACTACATGTTCAGAGCTACATTTTAGTGTTAAAACATCTAACATGCACTTAATCTATAATTCAAAAATTATTAAACACAAATTTGATATTTTTAAAGAATTAAAAATGAATGGATTTCTTAGGCATAATGTGCCTTTAGCAATTGTGATCAAAATAAATATCAAAGTATCTTCCTTAAGTTGTTCATTATTAGACCATTTCATTGCTTAAAAAGGGAATGCCTTCATTTAAGTAAACCATCTTTTTTCAAATATCAAGACAGTTTTTGTTATAATGATTTTAATAATTTTATGTTTGTTATGTTCGGATGTTTCTCTTGAAACATTGCATTACTGCTTGACAAGATACCTTTAGGAATACAACTTGTTGGTGACACACTCCACGTTCCATTTCTTAGGCATTTGGATGTGACATTCTGTCCACAAGAACCAGCGATGTAATAATCCGTATTGCATGTAAAAGTCGCAACCGACCCGATCGACGTACCATTGGAAAAATGAACATCTCCGTTCAGCAATTTAGGAGATGTGCAGTCTGAAATTCAAATATTGATATACGAGGGATGATACATACATTGTAAATACCCTAAATTCAGCCATAAAATCCAAATTATTGATGGAGGTTCATATGACATCTTTATAATAATATTATGTCAAAATTTAAGTGTTTTCATAATGGCCTAGTTATTGCAATGACAACAGTCATATTAAAATAGGCTTATAAAAAACCTGTGCGGTCTTAGGGTTGTTGAAAATGGGTTTAATGGGGAGGTAAACTCAGGAGGACAATATTCTCTTCAATAGCCCGCTCTATTATAGCCAAACTCTCATACGATCCATGATCATCCACTATGAGAAGATGCGAGCGATCAGGATCACAGTGTTCAAGAGACACTGTGTCAAACCACACTTGAGCAATTTCATCCATTATGTTGAAGTGTCTAAACAAATTTGTAAGGGGCTTCAAGTGTATTGAATCCCAGCAAACACCATTTGGTTTTGCGTTTGGTGATTAACATAGGTCACCTGCACCGTTAATCTGAATATCTATGACACTCTCAAGGTTTTATGAATCGTAAGCACTCAGCTTACTTCTACAGTATGCACTCACCTTCGTTCATTGTCATTTTTATGCTGCCGAAAACGAACAAGAATCGTCTAATGTAATAAAATGAAAATACGCTCAATATATTATAGTTGTATAGTTAATTAATAACGCGTAAAACAAGAAGGTGGGCCTTAAATTTAATATATGAAAAAGAAACAAATCTCGCAAAAACTTTAACATACCATTAAATAACATTTAATAATACTCGAGGTAATGATTTTATGAAAAGTGGTTCAATTAATATTTTGGACATACAAGAACAATGTAGCAATACCTACTTATCATTTGGAAAAATAGTTGTATTAAAAAGTAAGATTTTGTGTTATCCGTATTAAACTCAAATTTGGCTTATTATTACTTCCCTGGAGGGGACTGTAGGTTACCCTCCGTCCGTCCGTACGTGTGTCGGTCAGTCTGTCCGTCCGTCCGTCCACAAAACTAGATCCGTGAGTACTGAAAATATAATTTATGAAACTTGATATCTGAAAACTGTCATACTTACCGAACGTCGGCGACCTCGTCAAGACTTCTAATTCTATTTTTTACGTTTTTTCACTAAAAGTTCTTATAGCCTATCGGCTCGGGTTATATTTACAACCATTTATATAGGGTCAAAATCTTTATAACTAATAATATATGTAGTTTGCTGGCGGATAAGATACAGAAATAAATGTACTAAGTTGATCATAACCATTACAATGTTCGTATTTTCTTTGTTTCACCAAATTTCCGATATATATTTCAAATTGATATAAACAATAGAACTGTATCATTTGGATAATCTTATAAAAACTATTTCTTGAACGAAAAAATATTGATGAAGTTCAATCTGAATAGTCATTTCTGGTGACCTTTCACACAGCCAATCATCGGCGAGCTTTCATAATTTTGAAAGCGATGCTGTTTCTAATTTTAACCCTTGGAAAAGCAATACAGAGTAGGTAATTTTCACGATTTCGAGAGCAAACATGGCGTTGTCCATGTAGCCGACAGGTAAATTGGCAAAACAAGCTTGCCCATTAAAAATTTACATTATTATTTCAAGGTTTGTTAATTGTTACTTTAAACATTTTTTTCTAACAAAAGTCAAGAAAAACGTGATTTAAACAATGTGCCCTCGGAAATGCATCAAAAGCAATCACTTATTATACTAAAAAGACTAGCTATTAGCGATCTTGCATATTGAAGACAATGTAGAAACAAGAATGGGAAAATTCATCAGAAACCTCCATTTAATAAGTAGATAGTTTTCAAAGATGGATTAGAATTAAAAATTTAAGATCGCATTATTTTTCAGTGAAAAATTTTGCGGACAAATGTAGATACTTGTATTTTAAAATGTGCACCAAAAATGCACGAGAAGCCATTCAGCATGCAGATTTCATTTTTGTCTAGGAGACACAAATCAGTATTTTATCAACTGATGAAGTTACGAGTCATGATAAGTGTTCCCATTAGTGTTTAGTTGTTTGTATATAGACAATATTGAATGAGTATCGATTTAATACTAAATCCTTGAACGCGTTGAATAAATTCATATCATGCGAGCCTCTGGCTCTCTGGTTTTATTCAAAGAGTTCGATAAATTTAGTGTTGATTCGACACGAATATAATATTCAATTTATGACATATGCAAAATAAGAACAATTTTAGTGTTAGAAACAGTCATTTTCATTGACGCGTCTATGTGTGACACTTACATAAACGCGCTTTAACGCTAGAAATCGATTCTGACAAATAAGTTAAAAATTATCAGATAAACATTCACCTATCAACAAAATATCAGATTTGCATATCATAGCAATAATGATTATAATATTTGCACCATATGTACGTACATGTATCCTCATTTGAACATTCAGTAAACGTTGCAATTAGTTTTACAGACTAATGGTGGCACAAAAAGAATATACCTTACCGCTATGGTTTCGAATCCCGACAGGGACTTTGGATTTTAACATGTGAAGAAGTTATCGATGCACGGACGGGCATCTGAGGGTCTTCCTCCATCAATAAAGATGGAAAGTCGCCGTATGACCTATACTGTGTTAGTGGGGCGTAAAACCCAACAAAGTTTGTTTTTTTAATTGGTTTTCTCGTTTTCGTTTACTATACCTTTTGTTGTTTGTGTAACAGGAGTCGTTTCAGTTGCTGCTGCTGCTTTAGCTATGTCTGGAATAAAAAAGGCAATTCACATTTAAACGTTCAATTATGTTAGTTTAAAATTTTATTTATTCATTGATTAACAATGACTTTTCAAATCGTAAAAGTCAACGATTTTTATTGGGCATGTGATAACTGATAAATGAATTAAGTAGTATGTATATAATTGTATCAACTTTTGAATTGTCATGAATAAAAACATAAAAAATGACTTAAATCTGTGCCCTTAGTTGTAATTCTTGCAATACATAAAAACATCTTTATGTTGGTTGCGTAATGTACCTTTTTTTCAAATCCGAGCCTTCTAATTGATAACGATCCTGTGATTCTCTTATATTTAAAAAAAATACATGCAACTTATAAGGGAATGCAATCAAAATGATATTTCTGTGAAGTTTGAATACAACCTTTTAGTATTGAAGAATTCTTATTTTAATTAAATTTACATATTAAGTAATTTGTATTCGCTTGTCAGGTGTTACAATGCATGCATGTTATCACAAAATCAAAACAGATTGTGATTTAGATATGCAATTTGTAAGGTGAGTTTAACTGGCATGTCTCATTCTGCAAATGTTTGTAGTCGTTATTGGTATTGTAATAATCTCATAAATTAAAGTGTTATCCCCTATTTTTTAAGATTGAATTAATCTATGCTAAATGATCATATAACAAAATGTAACATTCAACAAATGATATTATTACAAGTGTCGCTTTTAAATTAATACTGCAGATTCGTCTAGAATTAAAAAAAAAGTAAAACATTTTCTATTTCTTTAAACGGAACTGCACTGAGGTTCAAAGGCATAAAAACATAAAATTTGAAAATCTTACAAATATCAATCGAATCAATTAAAATGAAACAATCTGCCAAGGATAAGAACGTGAAGAAAGAAATATAATTAGAATTAAACTGAAAATTTAATTTGATGCGATTATCAGCCGGATTTGATTGAAAAACCTTGCAACGCTTTTCATTTTGGGGCTTTTTAAAAAC